CGCCCCCCCCCCCCTCCGCCCTCCCCCGGCCCTCCGTCCGCGCCGCTTTCGGTTCACCTTTCCGGGCGGCGGGTGGCGCGGCGCAGCGCCGCCGCGATGTCTCCGCGGCCTCGGACGCGGCCCTTCGGCTCCGCACAGGAAATGCTTGACCGAGTGTGTCACCGGATCGCGCCGGCCTCGCCGCCGCCGCGCTGACCTGGCGGCTCCGAGCGGGTGAGGCCGCTCACCGCGCTCCGTGCCCCCGGTAGGGCGCTGCTACCTCGCCTCGGCGAGTGGCCGGGCCCGCCGCCGCGCCTCAGCCGTCCGAGTCCTTCACCCAAATCCCGTATTCCTGCTCTGTGTTAGCGGTTGTGCATCTCCAATGCGTGTATCCGGAGCAAACGCTGCGTGAAACTGGTTCCAAATCAAAGCTGCGCTCCAGCCCCAAAGCTCCCTGCTAGAGACAACCCATCGTCTCCCTTCTCGCTTCGGTTGCGTTTCTGTGTACAGCCCTTAACACAATATCCACTATCATCATCATTTGCTGAAGTTTAAATGATGCACGCGTGGCAGGGAAGCCGCTAACAGAACTTGACAGAACTCTAGCTCTGTGCTTGGCGTGCAGAAGATGAAGAAGCTGATTAGTGCTTTGTCACTTACAGTGTTTGTAACGAACGTTTTTCATTTCCTTCATCTTATGCTCCTGGGGCCTGACCCAAGACCCACTGCAGCTCAGCAGAGGCTTTCTGCTTGCTTCACGCAGTGCAGCTGACACGGCTTGTAACGAAGCCTGCGTTCCCACTGGAAAGAGTTCACTTGATAAAAAATTAGCCTGAAGCCTCTCGCTGAAATCTGGAACTACTTTTAACCCAAACTGTAGCAGCTAAGCGCCCATTCTGCTTTTAACTGGTTTCAAATGCTAAAAAACACCCTGGGACTTTTTAATGGAGGCTATTCCATGAATAGAGGATGTTCTTGCCAAAGTTCTGCACCAGATAACTGAGCAATCTTCATTTCCCTTTTCCTCCTGAAGTGGGTCTCCCACGCACCAGCACTACAAACAGAGCTCACCCCCACCACCCTGAGTTCCTATGTGTAGCACAGCAAGGAGTCACACTGCACAGTGCTTAAAGCTTCTCACAATCTGAGTAACAGCCCCACAACGGCCATTTATGGACACTACCAGATGGACATTAGGAATTACCGCAGTCGCTGCGCAGAGATTATACTTCTTTGCAAAGAAGCTCAGCTTTGTATTATCCAACCAGGCTGGAGCCATTCAATTTGCTGCCCTAAGCCATAATATCTGCTTTTTCAGAAATGAGAACAGAAGATGGATTAGTTGAAATCGATTTATTATAGAACACGGGAAAGCATCCATCAAAACAAAGCAAACAGTTCTAAATATTCATGCAGTGGTACTGTCTGCTAAATGAGCATTCCTGAAGCATCCAAAAATGTTCAGTTTGCAAAGATCTCTGAGCAAAACATGTCTGAAAGCAGCTCTGCATGTCAGCAGCTATATATAGAGAAGCACATACAGCTGTGCATATGCCCAGTAGAGTCTGTGTGCTCACGCAGCGCAGCATTACAGCAGCACTGGCCCTGGCTGTGCCAACTGACACAACTGTTATGTTTTGAAATATTTGTGACTCTCGTAATTAGTGATTTCCTGTGGAATTCATTGAAGTCCTTCATCTCTTTCAGAGCCCACATCAGTCTCAGAGCTCGTTCTCGCTGCATAGAGCTTTCCCTGCTGAAGCCAGCTGCACTTTGCTAATTGCTATCTCCTCTAGGTGCAAGATGACAGGAAATACGGGTAACTTACACAGTATTTATTTACTTTTTCAAACCCCATGTTTTCATTCTAGATGGGTCATTGTCTGTAATGTAGAAAAGCTGCATTTGGAACAACTGATTTTTAACTCTGAAAACACATCCTTTTTATCCCAGTTTGAGATTACTTCTATAGCACCGTGTCAGCACATGGAAACTGAATATATTCATTTCTGTGCACCAATCTGATGTGTGGAACGTTTGTGTATCATCTGTCTTGGTTACAAAGAAGGCAATGTCCTAGGATAGCTGACTGGGCCATTTGTCTGAGAAATTCCATAAGCCTATAGTGCCATGATTATTTTTCACTACTTTTGACACTGAGCTTGCACAGCAAATGTGCCTGTGCAAGATCCGCAAAAGCTACCAGAAATGCCTGCAGAAGGAGCTGTTCTTTCCCCCCCCCCTCCCATTCCCCCCTCCTCCCACCACCCCACACCCTGTATATTTAATTGCTGTTGCAGTTCATGGTCTCTTTTCCCCATAATCCTCTATTATAGCAGAACTGAAAAAGAATTAGGGGCTCACGTTTGGTTTGGATAAAATCCTGAAATGTGGATGTGCCTCTGAATTACCTCATCGTCTCAGTTTGAGCCCTCAGCTGAACTTTGTCCTAAAATCCACCTCTGGAGAAACAGTGAAAAGTTCAGTACAGGCTTCAAAAACATGGAATCATGCCTTTGATCATCACAGCAGCTCAGGCTCTTAGGATGCCCCCAGGTGTTTGGGCTCCTTGTGACACCGGCCATGCCGCCCTTTGCTGCAGCTTGTGCTGGTGCCCCACTGGTTAGGCTGCCTGGAAATCTCAGCCCACAGAACCCACTTCGAGCACTAAATATTAGCTGGACTGAAAGCACAACGAGGGACATCGAATCTCCTCTCCTTTCCTATTAGCTGCAAGAGCCGAGCATCAGAAAGCGCAGGCTCCATTTGTACTGCTGCTGCCAGCTGTGCTCCCAGACCTCAGCAGATGGCACTGTCACATCAGCCTGGGCATAGGAAAGAGGAGCACACAGATTGTGTTTTCACAGGTAATGCTTGTTTTTCTTCCTATATATACATATATATATTCTCTAATTGGTACCTAGCTATATCTATTTGAATTTCAGTTAGTTAATTTAATAAACCAAATGAATAAGATAAAAGAGCAGCTAACCACTGATACCTTACCAATTTGGAAGTATGGAGTAGGATTAAACAATGCATTTCTCCTTTACAAATCACTGGAAAACAAAAACATTTGTTTGCTTGTTTTAACTTTTTTTAAACTATTTTCTAAAGTAGTTACATAATTCTTTTTGCAGCTGTGACCTGCTCTGATTTATGCTATGTTTTTATTTATTATTGCTCTTTGTCTCCTTAGTCTTCTATGTACTGTTAGATGGGAAACTCTTTGGAGAATCAAATGAGAGAGCAGAGAGGTCTTCAGAAGTGTTAATAGGTGAACTGGCAGCAGAATCACTGAGTACTGTCCTTATTCCTTCTCAGCCTCCATGCTGAGACATCCAGATCAATTACCTCAAACAATTCCACTCGTATTTTAACAAAAACCAGTTTCTCAGCTGCCACCATCCCATGCCTCCTGCCTAAATACTTTGGTACAAATTCTCCTCATGTCACTCTTTATAGTGCTGCTCTGAAAGCATAGGAAGGGCTTCTGCTTCCCTTCCTCCCCCCCACTGCCGTTGCAGTTATACATATGCCTCTGTTCCTACCAGCAGTGAGCACAGGACTGTTTGAACAATTGGAGTAGGAGAGAAGGGAGAAAAGAAGCCTAAGAATATCCTGTTTGACCCCTTTATGAAACTACCACCAATATTTCCCCACTAAGCCACATCCCTTAGCACCACACATCTGAACGTTCCTTGGATACCTCCAAGGACAGTGACTCCACCACCTCTGTGGGAGCACATTCCAGCACCTGACCACTCTTTCAGAGAAGAGATTTTTCCTGATACCCAACCTGAACCGCCCTCAGATCGCTGTCACTTGGGTCAGTGGGCTTTTGTCTGAGAGGCTGCTGCCACTCTTTGTAGTCCACGCTGCTCTTTCATGGTGATCAAATGATTGACCATTTCTCCCTGCATTGTGGTGGCTTGGTTTTACGTTTGGAATGATTTACTAACAAATTATGTCGGAAAAATGGCATTCCTATACACTAACTTGTTATTTCCCCATCTGTGAAATCTTGGTTACAGCCACATTCTTGGTATCCACTTATAAGGGCGCTGACTCAGCAGTAAGAATGTCAGCTGCAGAGAGCCCATCTGTCCACTGGGCAGCAGAGCCACCAGCTTTTCTAGGAAATCTGTGGATCTGTTTCAAAGATCTGCAAATGGACAAATGGCTCTGCTTCTCTGCTATTAGCCTCACAGGCGCTTTGAATACTTGCCACGCTGTGCTTTCAGAACGTAGCGTCTCAGGGTGAGGCTGGAGAGCAGCAAGAGGATCCTCTCCCCTCCTTTATTTCTGCCCTCATTTTAATCTTTTTTCCTTTCAGTTGCACAGAATCATAGAATATCCGGAGTTGGAAGGGACCCATAAGGATCATCGAGTCCAACTCCTGGCTGCACACAGAACCATTTAAAAAGGAGCCCATAGAACTGAGCGTTGTGCAGACAGTCCCTGTACTGCTGCAGGACTGGGGCCGTGCCCGCTACCCTGGGGAGCCTGTGCCAGTGCCTGCCCACCTTCTGGTGAAGAACCTTTCCCTGGTAGCCAACCTGAATGTCCTCTGAGGTTAGCCCGAGCACTAAGAATAGCGAAATAATTGGAGACTTTCCGTGGAATTTCTGCAACGCAAAGGTCAGATGTTCTGTACAAAAGCGCAGACCAAGGACAGTGATACCGCCTGACCTAAAGGACTCATGGGCTGAGAAGCTTGCCTGCTTGTTTTCAGCATTTTAATTGACCTGCTGCAACATTTCGCTTCAGCACGTATTTTCACAGCATCATGGAACCGTTTGAATCAGAAGAGACCCTTAAAAGCCACCTGGTCCAGCTCTCCCACAACAAACAGGGACGCCTACAGCTAGGTCAGGCCGCTCAGAGCCCAGTCCAGCCCGACCCCTCCGAGCCTCCCGGCGGGGCCGCGGCCGGGAGGAGCCCGATGCCGCCGCGGCCGCCTCCCTCCCTCCCTCTTTCCTTCCCGCCCAGCGTCCGGCGCTGCCTCCCCGCAGCAGAGCTGGGGATGGCGGGGCTGGCCGGGGCGCTCTGCCTCGCCGCCGCCGCCGCCTGCCTGCTCCCGGCGCAAGGGCGGGAGAGCGACGCGGGATGGACTCAACAGAAGGTGGGTCGGGCCGGGCCGGGCAGCCGTGGTCTTCCGCCGCCTCGCGGGTCTGTCCTTTGTCCCTCGGCCCGCTGCCGGGGGCGCTGCGCCGGGACGAGCACAGGTGAGGGGCCGTGGCTGCCTCCGCTCCGGGTACCGACGGCCGGGCGGGAGCAGCGTGGTAGGGGCTGCAGCCCGCGCTGCGCTCCCAGAGCCCCGTCAGGCTTAACGCCGCTATGGAGACAACGAGCAGCTCTTCCCGAGGGGATGCACGTTGAGCTAGGAAAAAGAGGATGAGATGATGGCAACTACGTAGGGATTTTGAACGGATACAGTATTTTAACATCTTGTAGGGGCCATACTGTAATTTTCTTCATTTAAAACGCTGTGTGAAGTTGTAGGGGAAAAAAAAAAAAAACTCTTGAGATAATGCTTAAGGAAACAACACATGGTAAAGCCTCTGTTTCTCTGTGCAGCTCTCAGTGGCTGATTACAAAATGCCAGCATAGCTTCTTAATGAACCAAATCACATGGAACACAGCTGATCGCAGAACAGTGACTTTCATTGAATTAAAGCATTCACGGATTTCAAAAAGGAAAATGATAGAATCACAGAATCATATTCCTTTAGTCCCCGCTGCTGGGTGGCTGCAGATGCTCACCTGGAACCACGGAGCTCCACTGATCCCATGCACTACTCTGCACTCCTCAGCCAGAGCTAGAACAACCTTCATGCATTCCCCATCACTCCCATTCAGTCCTTGTTTGCTTTCCCCTTGATATCATTCACTGCCCATTCAACAGAGGTTATGGGTTTTAATTTTGAAAATCAGGAGAAATGTTGTCATTCTGTTCTACTCCTGTTATCTCTGTGTATATATTTATATACACAGTATATATATACATCTATCACATATCAAGAATGCATTTAAAACTGTGTGAGGTAGACCTTCAGCTGTGGCAGTGAGCACATAGCTGTGCAGCCCTAGTGCACCCTTTGCAGCCCCCTCAGCCACAGTGACACTCTCTGCACCTCATCTCACTCCAACCCTCTGAGCTGCTTCCTCATGATGTAACCCCACTAACCACAGAACCACGGCACTCGAACTCCTCGGCCCCAGCAGGCGCCCACCAGGAACCACTTCCTCTTTCTCATCAGATTCTCATCCCTTCTGCTCTTTCTCCCCTGAAGGGAAGCATGAGCCAAAAGCTGGACATCTCAGAAGTGCACAGCCCACTCCCTCCTGCTTACACAGGGAGGAGAAACCAGATCCTAAACTTACCAGCTCTCAGAAGAAGAAAGCTTCCATTGGCACTAAGCGGGAAGGTACTCAAATCAGCAGGATAAGTACAGGCTGCTGGTAGAAGCTGCCATTTGTACAGCTTAGTGCAGATGGCTCAATGGCAGCCCTACCATGAACACACTGCTCTGCTGCCACCCTGCAGCAAAAGGCTGAGCAATCCCAAGGAATGAGCCACCAGCACACTTTGCTCCATTCTTCTTTTACTTCACGAATGCCTTTGTAACGCCTTTCACTTCCCAGATTTGAACATATTTTCACTATTATGAGTGGGAATATATTCCTTTCTTCTGAAGCATTTTCACACACTTGTACTATAACAAAAACATTTCTTTGCAAAGCGTTTCCATGTCCCCAGCTACCAGGGAAGCTCTGCTGCTATTCAGCATGCTCACTGAGCCCTTCACTTCTTCAGATGTCCTTCCCACTCCTAAAGCATGCAGTTCTACATTCCCTCTTTCCTCCTAAGCAGATCAGTTCTGACAACATTTCTCTTGTCTTTGCCTTTTCTATGTATGTGGAATGGTCCTCACACAAATAACAGCTGGGAAATTGGAATGAGGAGAATTAAATGCTTAATGTATAGTCAAGTCCAGAAAACGTCTGTGCTGGTACCTGCTTTGCTCAGCACAAACTAATGAAGGAGGAAAGGTGACAAGTTGAGAGACATCAACTTTTTTTTTTTTTTTAAACTATATTTGTCTATCACGGTAATTAAGATAAAAGGTAATTAGAGGAACTGCAGAAGGTCCCAAGGTCAGCATGGTTGCTGACCAGGTAAGGAATGATTTTCTGCAGTCATTTTAGAGAGATTAAACAACGTATGTGAGGAAGCAGGGAAGAAAGAGTGATTTTTTAATATTTTTGTTGTTAACACATTCAGTGCTGAAGTGAGAGTAAGTGCATCTAAGAATACATCAGCTCAATGCACCAGCAGCCCAAAAACAACTCCACAGTTAAGCATTTGTAAGACAGGAAAAGAATAAAATAGAAAATACCATTCTCCTGCACTATAAACTGTGGTTCTCTCCTGCTCCTGTTTCTCTGTCTTTCATTTTCTGAAAAAAGAAACACAGGGCAGACTGAAGAATAGCAAGTTTCATCAACCTCATACGGCAGTTCTGAGCAAAGCATGAGCAAACACAGCAAGGTATATCAATGGGAGGGGAGATCAGAAGGAATTCCCTGTGACAGAAACACAGAATGGGTAGGATATAAATATCCTATCATAGTACCTATCATGTTTATCTATAAAACCAAAAGTGGCTCGAGAAGTTCCTGAGAAGACAACCGCTGGAGTCTGAGTAGGTTCAAACCTGGTGCCCAAGGAACACTTAGGATGTCCTTGGATTTCCCACCTGGCATTCAGCTGTTGCTCCAGGACATCATAAGGCTCATCCCTGATGGATTTGCTAGCCCCAGGCAAAAGAAAAGCAGCACTTGGGAAGTAGCTAGCACTACTGGCTGTCATCACAGGAGAGAAGTTGCCACTTCTGAGGTTAACTCAAGGCTAACAACACTGATATGGACCTGAGCACACTCTGAAAGAGCTACATTGCACTGTGCAGTCACACCAACTCCACCCCTGTGGGTAGAGCCACGATAGCACCACTCTTCTAGGACTGAGCTGGCTGATGCAGTGCTGTGCCCTGTAATGTGCACAGACCATAAAGCTAAATATTACTGCTGCCAAAATAAGGCTTGTGGGGTTTGTCACAAAGAAATCTTTACTCGAAGGAGGCACTGTTGAGGACATGACTGTAGAATACATATAATTAAGATATCAGAAAAGAGAACCCAATAAAAGGCAGAGTTTTGTTAGTAGGTAGACATTTCTCCCATGTTCTTAGTATTAGTTTATTTTACATGGAAATCAGAGCTAGAAAAGCCACAGAGCTTAAAAATGTCTTTTTTTCTAAATTTTTGTCAGAAAACCTTTTCTTAAAATAACTGTCAGCAAACCAAAATAGCCCCATATACTGAAACATCATTTACCATAATTCTGAAGAAGACTATGGTTAAAAAAATTCAGTAACAGTTCCAGCAATCTTTCCTTTTTCTCTCCAGTATTCTCACCAACCAAGTATTTTGCATCCTGATGCTATCCAAAATGTTGCAGAAAAAACAGATGTTTCTGAAATGTGGGAGAATGATTTGCGCCCCATCCTGATAGAAAGATACCCAGGGTCACCAGGAAATCACGCCGTACGACAGGTAAGGAAATAGTTCTGCAAACCTCTAAGCACACCTATTCTTTATATGCTGGTAAAGCCTTCAGGAACCACAAAGGGACAAGTTCCTCTCACGTGGTAGATGAACCTGATCACTGTGTTGGTGCAGACTGTACAGTGCCTACAAGACACAGCTTCACTTCAGCTAGCATTACTTCCCAGGGCTGCACGGCAAGAGGAAACATTAGCTTCAGGTTTCAAACTAAGAAGCTGACCCCGGGTCTGGTAACTGAAGTATAACACAGTGCTTGTCCATTTCCTCACATGAGAAGGATTTTGATGGTTCAAACATCTGGAATCCTACACATCCCCGCTCTTTGTCCTGGAGAGGTCCTGTTAGACTTGATTCATCCAGCCAGGTGAGACTAGCAGGGATCAGAGAGGTCCACGCAGGTGGGCAGCCTGGATAGGCAGCACAGCAGCATGATAGTGCTGGGCTAATACAGCCACATCGTACTTGGCCCCAGGCTGGTGAGAGCTCCAGCATGTTGTGCTTCAGCAACAAGTATTCAGCACGAGTAGGCTCTCACAGTGCAGGCATCTCCAAGGCCGTGTGCCACACTCACTCCTACTTACATCAGCCAGCCCAGAGACTGAAGCACCGGCATGGCCCAGTTTACTTAGAAGGCATCTGCAACATCTCAAGAACCATCTACCTTTTAGGAAGCAACTCAACAGCTCCAAGATACCCTTAACTCCAATAAGCTCAGATGCCACTCTACAAATGGTAGGTGAGGAAAATGTAGCTTTTTTATACTGGTTGTTTCTATAGATTTAGTTTTGTGGTTTCCTTAGTCATACACTAGAAGAAAGCCAACTGGAAGGGAAAAAAAGTAAGAAAAACAAACAAACAACAGCACAGCCTGGAATAGAAAACCACAAATTACATTCAAAAAAAAGGATCATTTTGTTACAAGGTAACAGCATATATTGCAGTAGACTCCCACGGAAGAAAAAAAATCCTCCCGAGACAGGGAAAGACATCAGACTCCTGGAAGAGAAGTTCCACTCACAGACAGGGCATTCTGGGAACTTCACCCAGGCTTACACACTCCTCTTAATCTATAACAGAAGTCCTTTGCTCTGTTGATGTAGTCCTACAGATGGTGGGTAGGCCATATGATGCCATAAAAGCTTCCAGAAGGTGACCACAAGCAAAATGGAAATTTCTTCTAACACAGAATTTATGGCAGCATTTGCACTGACTTCACTGAAAGCAGTACAAGTCCTTAAAGTCTATTTTCTTTTTTCCCTTAGAGGCTTTTGCTAATGTTTATTTAGAGAGAGAGGAATCTGCCTTGAAGATGCACTCTAGGGACACATAAAAATCAGTTGCTCAACAGAGATGGCCCTCTAATAAGAGTCAGTCAGAATCCTGTACTAAGTACAGCCTGGGTAGTTAGATTTACTCTCTTTAACATGAAGCTACCTAAAAATGAATCATCCTTTACTTAGGTTCGCTGTATCAGTTTTTATTAAGGGTCTCATTTTTAAGACATTCTGAAATGCTTCGTTCGTTCCATAATTGACAGGCATCAGACTGTCTTTTATAGCCTCATAAGCAACTTACGCCACTTGAAAGGCAAATTTCTTTTAGAAGGTAAAAATACCAATATTTTTTAAAACCCCAATATTTTACTTATGGAGACTATACATAGCAATTGCCAAAATAGCTGCAAGTTCTCTGCAGCCAGTTTTGACACTTATGGACACAACTGAGTTTATATTTGAACGTATCGATCCTAATTACCTCTGGAAAAGTCTGGCTTGAAGACTTTAGGAGGTCAACACCTCAACACGTCACGCTGATGAATTTGTCTGCAATATCTTTTCTTCAGCAATATTGATCTGCTATATATACATACATATATTTAATTGCAGCACATCAAGCAGCGCCTTCAAAGACTCCAGGCTGGTTGGGAAATTGAAGAAGATACCTTTCAAAAGTACACACCCTATGGGTATCAAACATTTTCAAATATCATCAGCACTCTCAACCCCTCTGCAAAGCGCCACCTGGTCCTCGCTTGTCACTACGACTCAAAGTTCTTTGGCCCACAGTGGCATGGAAGAGTGTTTGTGGGAGCAACCGACTCAGCTGTGCCCTGTGCCATGATGTTGGAGCTGGCACGTGCCCTGGACAACAAGCTTCAGTCCATCCAGGTAGTTGGCTTGGTTCCTTCTCATATGGTTTTGCAATAGCAATAGACCTAAGGGCACTTCCATGCTCTCCCTTTTGGTCTGTGTCTGATTCTCTGGTCACTGCACCTATAGGAAAATTCCCATCGTATTCCAGAGGAACTGAACAGAGACCTGTACACGTGTGCTTTAGTACATGATAACATTACAAACTCACATGCAAAATGTGAGTATCTTATATACACTATATGAAAGCAATTTACCCATGGAAAACACACTTAATAGACTTAATGAGATATAATTCTTCGTTATGCATAAAAAGCACAGAATCCTATCTAGCCATTCCTATCCTTTTAAGTAAAGCACCATATTTCTTTCTGAATGATGCATTTTTTAAAAGTCTCCCTGTTGTACTGGGAGACAGCTGAACTGATTGCTGTGCAGGAGTTACACTGTCACATGCCCCCAGCCCATAACAACTTCAACATTTTCTTCCTGTTTTCCTTTATCAGTTTGAATCGTTTATTTATGAGATGAGCAACAGCAATCTGAGCGGAGGAATGCAGACAAGTAATATGATCACATTATCAGTCTCTAGAAAATTAGCTTTCCAGCACTGCCACTGCTGGGCATAAAAATCTCTAAGAGCTATTTCACAGACTTACGAGTGCCATCTACTGGCTCGGTATTTACTACTGATAGAACGCTCGCCAAACACCAACAAATTTCCACAGGAAGCTTCCTCAAACGTTTTGCTAACTACCGGAATGCACTCAGTTCAGGTATTGAGATCAGCTGTTTGCAGTTGTCTCCAGAACTGATTTGGTGCCTTCTGACATCAGAAGATTTAAATGCTAAGGATATGCCACAGGTTTTAGCTACAAAATGAAGCACTTGTGTGAACACATGCAGATTCCATTTACAAGCTTCATTTAGAATAAGTCTGCCTATTACTTATGGAACAACCAGTATGCCGATTTAAAAATTGGAATTTTTTTTTTTTTTTTTTGCAGGTAATACATTATTTCTTGTTTAAGTTTTCATTAAGGTGACAGCATTTGACAGAAAAGCAATCCAATCACTTCGCACAGACCATCACTCATACAGCCCATTAACAAAATATACTTTGGGACCCATCTGCTTAATCCATTAGCAGTGACCTTTTTGCTCTGCTCACAGCAGCATAACAGACTTTGGTATGCTTTCAGCCAAATCTATTTATACTTGAAACTTGATCTTTATCTTGATGTTTCTTCAGTTATACAAAAGTAAGTTTTAAAACTAAAAGGGCAAGGAGATCTCTTTACATTATCCAGATCTAGGAACATGTTTAGCACTAATAATGATGGCAAATACTGCTTTCTAAAATTCAGATGCTGCTAATGCCATTTCCTCCAAAATGTAATGAAAACAACTGCTATCAGAGAGCTCTTTTCCGTGAAAAGGACAAAGGGCAGCAAGGCAGTGCCATTAGAAAAATCCATACATTGCTGTGGGCATAATCAATAGTCATCTTGTCTACGTGAGCAACATTCTATAGAGGTTTTCCTCTATTGTTTGCATTGGATCAGCTCCAGACAGTTGGGAATTGTGGCCCATACAGGACGTGACTGCTGCCAGTGACCCCACCTTTTTAACCACATCGCGCAATCCCATTTGAAGAAAAAATTATTCATAGAGGGGTTAAAATATTCACAGCAACTGCCAACATCACAGTTCCCAGCACTGTTCATATAGTGGAGCTGAGCCATGCTGTAAGTTATTAGGAAGCGCTGCCAGAGCAAACAAGGCTTCAGTTAGTAAACAGAAAAAAAAAGGCTTCTTCTGCCTCGAGAAGGAATTTCACACAGATGTCTCCTTTGTGACCTTAAACACAATAATCATGTATATATTTTCAACAGTTTCACTGTTGTGATATTGTTGGTGGCCAAAGAGGAAGAGTGTATCTATTCCTCTCTCTTTGGTTTCAGGGTAAATTTACCTGAATGACTGCAAGTATCCCTGAAGAAGAAATGATCGCTGTCACGACTGCTCTTTGTCCCTCAACGAACCATACACCTTTCATAATTTATCTCCACTGATGCAGAACTGTAGCAGGAATACTATTCCTTTGAGGCACTGTCACAGTATTAGCATTCACCTCAGATGCTGTTGCTGACATGTCTCCTCTTGTTGCTTGAAATGATGTCCTGGCTGCCTGGTTTTGTAGACGTTTCTCAAAATACTCAGCTCACATCTGCTGAAGCCAAAAATAAAACTTTCAACCAGAACCAAAAATCATGCAAGGGTGGGGGATGTGTCATCGTGCTAGATTAGTAAATAATAATAATTGATCACTATGTCATCATGACATGTTTGAGATTAATGGCCATAGGAAGACTTGCATACAGTACCCTGAAGATACGCCCATACCTAAAGGGCTTATCTGACTACAATATTCTTTCTTTACACAATGCTCTGGCCAGAATCAGTTCTGTCACCTTTTACTTCTTCCAACAGACAAGCTCAACATCAAGACCAGACCTTTCACTTCAGCTTATTTTTTTTGATGGAGAAGAAGCTTTCGTCCGGTGGTCCCCCTCTGATTCCCTCTATGGGTCTCAACACTTGGCTCAAAAAATGGTATCTACTCCACATCCACCAGGTTCAACCACCACAAATCAACTCCAGGGCATGGTAAGTGTCTTCATCTCCATAATGAGTAATAGCAAGTTGCAATTGTTTAATTAAGCCAAATACCCAAGAAACCAAGAATCTCTCCTAAACTAACTGAGGCAAGCTTGTGAAAAATTCAGACATGCTAAAATACAGAGCTGGCAAGAGCATTTCAGGCGGACCTGCACAAATCTCGATGCAAGTATCAGAATTTGTAGTAAATCTGAATATTACATTTTTTTCTACAGTATAAACTAGGGCATCTACCTCCTTCAATAGAGATTCTTCAACATGATCAGTAAAGAGCACAGAACTAATAAGATGATTTGAAGAAAAAAAAAAAAAGCCCCCCAGCTCAGCCTTGGTGTCAGACATCTCAGAGTCATAGCAAGCTCTCTGGGTTGCCCTTTGATTCCTACAAACATTTTGTCATCTCCTCCCTTCTGGTTTCCCAACTCATTGCTCAGCCACTTTCCTTCTGTCATTCTATCTTGTGACTCATAAAATGTCTTTCCCTTGACAGATGCTGTTCTCCAGGGAAGAAGTAATTTTCTCTTTTTTCTCCCCACGTAACATATTCTTTTAAAGGGATATAACACAGAGACTGTAAACGAAGGAACACAGCCTTTTTCAGAAAGAGGACTGGACAGTCTGTCCCTCCTCCTTGGAAAGGCAGCAAGATGCTCTGGGTCTGAGTAGGGTTCTGCTAATGGAGAATCAGGCGCTGTGGTAGAAAAGCCAGATCTTTGTCAGGAGCTGTCAATGAATGTCATGAGGTTTCACTGCTGCTGGTGTGATGGTGGGTAACTTTAAGAATACTCTGCTAAAGATTCTTTCTTCTATAGGACCTGCTGGTACTACTGGATTTAATTGGTGCACCAAATCCTGTCTTTCCCAATTATTTTCCAAACACTAGCCGATGGTTTCAGAGGCTTCAAGCAATTGGTAAGGAGAGGGGCATGGGCTCTTAATTTAAAGATTTAGGATATAGTTTTCAAAGGAGAAAGCCATGTAAATCAGATTTTTACATTACTTTTCAGGTTTACAGTTCTAATATTTAATAATGCAAATGTTAAATTTGGTGCATCTTCAATATTGATATCTTCATACAGATTTAATTAATAAAATAACTACGATTCACAGACGCTTGGAAAACATGATTCTGATGGCCACTTTGTGACTCTTGAGCTCTGCTTCACTTTTGTGTTTTAGTTCTCACTTCTGTAAATCAATGGTAATAGCATCAGTCTTGGGGTCTTCCAAGTACTAAACAAATGCAAAAGACAGTCACCAGCTTCTTTTTCTTGCTTAATGGAAAAAGCTTCCACAAAGAGGAAAAATTCATTTGTGCTAACATGCCTCATATTGTCCAAAAGCTGTCCAAAAGTGTAACAGTCACTTCCATCATGAATTACAGAGCAGAAGCTACACGGTATGAATCTGTTGAAGAATCACCTTGATGAAACACAGTATTTCCAGAATAATGTACATCGAGGCTTGGTTGAGGATGACCACGTTCCATTTCTATTGAGAGGTACTGGTAGTTCTAATATTGCTTTAAAAATACAAGTTCAATAACGAAAGCTCCATTTAGTAAATAAACAGATGCATATGAACTTGTTTTTTTCCAGCTTATTTGCCCCAGGTTGTGGCTTCAAACTCCAATGTTATACAGGCCGAGTCATAGCTTTGAAAAACATAGAGGAAAAGCAGAGATAGAACCATCCTTACCATCATTTTGTATGTGCACAGCTCCAATGGCACAGAAATAATGGAAATTTCTGCCAGCAGTACAGTGTTCCTCAAAGACGAGTAACTGACCCAATGGGCTATTGCTACACACCACACCAGCCTGCTGCTTACTATTTCTAGAAGCAGCGAGACACACAAAAGGGCTGCATTTGCAAAGATTACAAAAGTCTCTGAAGACCTTCTGGCAAACTTACAGTAATGCTCACTATTACCTGTTGAAATTTGATGGCACTAATTCCTGCAAAAGCTAAAATATTCAAGTTAGACTCTCATTTCCTAGAGCAGAGATGGAAAAGGTGTATATAGTAATCAATAAGTATAGCAAAGGACAAATATGCCTAATGTGCATTAAGTGCATACCTGAAATTTTCCCTACCCAGCAGACACCTACACCACTGGCACCATGTTCATTCTTTTCTTTCGGGAAGCAGACAAAGAAAGGGAAAGTGGTTACATTAATGCTACCCAACTTGCACAGCTACAGGTTGGTGATTAAAGCTTTTGCCCAGGTGCAAGATGTGGGTTTGATGTTCAAGTACTAGGTATGGCACCTTCTAAACAAAGGTGAGCCACAGAAGAATAGCAAATATAGAACATTCTTCTAGTTGAAGCTATCCACCATACATAGGACTACACTAGTTGCATGCTAGAGAAGGACAAGGTCGAAAGGAAAGTAAGACGAGTTCAAAGCTGCTACATAGGAAATCTACATAGGAAATAAGGCAGATACTTCCATATCCACATCCTATGTTTACATCTGCTTGCGGTCTACAACAACTGAGTAATGCTGAATCAGTACACAGGTCTGAAGCAGACGAGTGCAGTCATACCTCTCCACTAAGCAAGCACTCCTTTAACTGAGCTGCACTTACAGTCTCTTGTTCAATGGATTTTCAGCTCCATGAGTCCTTCATTTCTGCAAGGCAGGACTCAGGTCCAATGAAATACATGCAGCTACCACATACATATCCAGGGACATAAGAAAATCTACATGGGAGATACTGGTCAAGAACTATACCTCAAAACCTTTTCTAATGACATAAGCAACACCCAGTGAAAATAAAGATTCCTCTTTGTGGTAGCTGGCTGAAAAATGAGGAAAATAGCAAAACAGGAAAGATGTTGAAGAGAAACAATGCTCTACCACCGTCCTGAAAGAAGGATCAAGAAACAGCCAAACGAGTTAAATTCTTTTATCTAGAAGTTGCATCATGTATCCACATACTGGTGGCTCATATCTATCAATCTACACACACACACAGTAATAAAGTCCCTTAAAAGTGTAAATCCTTTTATCTGAGGATAACAGTGGTTCTGTTTTCTGGGAGAAAAATACAGGCATTCTAATTTACCAGTTAAGGAGAGGACTCAAAACTGCTTCAAAAAAGTGCTGAATCCTAACACTGGCATAAGAACATAGTAACTGGGGGCTGCAGTGGTTTCTCTGCCCTTCTCTAGCTCTTAAACACAACTTGAACCACTACAATGCATGGAATCCAGGAAAAACAAGCAAAGAGGGCAGGTATCACAGTACAACTACTAGCTGCAGATACTTTATAAAAGAAAGTGCTTGAAGGAGGGTATCAACTTTAGGAAGCAAATAGTGAAACGGATGGGTTGTAGCCACAGACTTTAAAAAAAAGAAAAAAGGCTGTAGTACTGCAGTGGTATTCACTTTCCTCTAGAAAGTGAATTGAGTAGTTATCTGACTGTCAATAAGCAGTGATGTATCAACTTACTTAACAGAAGTTCTCCAATTTTGTTTCCAAATTTCACTTTGTTCCTCATAGGGGTTCCAGTCCTACATCTGATCCCATCCCCTTTTCCTGAAGTATGGCACACTATGGAGGACACTGAAGAAAACCTTGACCAAACCACTATTGAGAACCTCAGCAAAATCCTCCAGGTGTTCGTACTGGAATATCTAAACCTGTGACAGAAACATTGGCTGCAAATCTTACTTCATTTTAAATGTTGTTTGCTCACCTTCACTTCTGTTATTTAATTACATCAGAGTGCACTGAAGCAAAGCAAAATACGGCGATAGTTCTTGTTACACTGATTACTGATTCTGTTGTTCCCAGCTCAATGTTCCATATAAAGAAATAAAAGATGGCATTAAATAAAAATTAGTTTCAGTCCAGAAATAATTTGATCTTTCAATATCTTACCTCTGAATAGACCAAAATAAAATTCCAGAGTTTTCCCACATTGTTATCACCATTTTTATGTCACACATTAAGATTCCAATAGGGGATGCCTTCAGATGCGTTCAGCTAAAAATTTTTTTTTACAAGGTGTTACCAACTTTAGCAGCCTTCAGCAATGGAAATTTTTTAACACATTACCAAAAAAGGCAAAAATCACATTAAAACAAACTTTGCTCTGGGCTGAACCAAATCACATGATCATGAAATCAGCTCCAAGAACTCCTGACACACAATAGGGATTTGTTACTCTCTCTGTTCTCTTCCCTCCTTTCCTTAAGAGGGAGGCTGCAGGGCCACCAGGAAATAAGAACATAGCACGAAAATCAATTTTCTCCCAGTTGTTTCTGGATACTTTTTGATGGAGAAACTGGTGAGGAGTGAGAGCAGCGGGAAGGACTGTGGGGACTTCCACTGTGCTTCAGCTGCACACAGAACAGGCACTATGTGGGAGCAATGACCAAACACAGTGTTTGTGCACCTCAGAATCATTCAAAATTTGATCCAAAGTAATAGGAAAACTGTTTGTAAGAAAGATTACGTCAGAAGTAGCCATACTATGAATGTGATCATTTTGGAAACTGCAGTTTTATGTAGCTATCATTTTAAAAGCAATATGCTATCTATACAGACTGAACTAAGTAGAGGAGTGAGAAGACAACATCTTCTCAGCCAGGAACCTCTATCAGAAGAAGATACTCACCATTCTAACAACCCTGCACTTGTACATTTCTTACTGGAATTGTTCAATACATTTAGTGTAGCACTATGGCAGCACAAATCTACCTGCAATGACATCAGTTAACAGAAGAAGCAGGACATCTGAAAAAGAAAATCAAACAGCATATTAATTAATTAAGCTGGTAGAAGATGAAGTCAGTATTTGCCCGTTTTGAACTTCCATCATTACAAAGTTCTATACTGGACACAGAAATGTGTGCAATGCACACTGCTACTCTGGTTCTTCAAGAACGTGAAGGTTAACCTAAAACAGACCTCATTAAGAAACATGGGAGCAGAGGGTTGTTGTAACTGGAAAATGGACAAAGCCTAGTTTTTAAAAAAATCTATTGCAGGGAGTTGAAACAGCATTATAATTATGCAGTTGAAAGCAATTGTCCTTGAGTGTGCCATTCTCTTAAGTTCACTTGGTTCAAAGAAATGACACAGAGATTGCTCTGTTGTTCAACACAAAGAGGGATTATTTGCTTTCCTCACTAACTGCATGTGAGGCCCAGAAAGGGTTTCCTTCAAGAGGCACACAACTGTCATTTTTAGAAGAGGAGGGCAACTTAAACATCCTGGCAGCTTAAATGACCTGTCATTCATTTGAAAACTGCTGATGGAAAATGTATATCAGCCCAGCAGCCACATGACTATGGATCTAAAGCCCAAAAAATTGTCAGTAAAGACATGATACAAGATGGGTCCTCACTGCTTCTAAGCCAAAGCAGAACAAGCAGGTAGGAGACAGTCTGTACCAACTCGAGTCTGGTAAAATGCCAGGGAAAATACTAGTGACAAGACCAGGACTGGCAGTGCAGTACAGACAATCAGTTCAGAATTCAGAGCCCAGCTTCATGTTGAAGTTCATTTCCCTGGGTTGGTTTCTCCTTCCCTGTCGAATGTCTGCACCAGGGGACAGAAACCACCAGGAGGAATTTTAAGTAATCTTAAAACTAAAGAAATCAGCAAAGGACTTTCCCTTAAATAGGGTTAGTCACATTTCTGTCAAGTAAAAAATGAATCCACCATTCCTGGGAAGCTGTCACTGCCTTGTCACAGTCCTCCTCAAGGTGTATGAAGTTATTAACAAGGGGGAAGGGAACAAACTCAAGAGTCAGAGCTCAACAGGTTTTTAGTTTGGGTTTACACTAGTTACATGTGCTGTAACACAAGCTTTAACTCCTCTTGTAAGTTCATCACAAGAAAAGTAACGATGCACAATCCTCATTCTTCAGCACTTTCTACATTTAGCTACAAGTGAAGCAATCCTAAGCATACGCAGCAAGAACTGGCTAAGGAAGTAACAATGCAGACTGTTCTCCAGGCAGAAATGATGGCAAGAGCGAGTCCTCTTCCTCCTCTCGCTGGAATAGCAATCCTATTGCCAGGAATGAAGACAAAAGAAATTAGCAATTCATAGTCACATTCCATATAACTGTTTTGATTGTGAACACCTAGCAACAAATAAAATAAAATAAAATTAGAAAAGATAAGGCGCAGTAAAAATGCTTTTGATAGAAATATTACAAGACCAATCTACATCGGTAGTAGGCCCAGCAAAAACTACAGTTCAATGAGTAGATGGGTGCCACTTCAGAGCATATCCCATAAACCACATCTGTTTCCCTAAGTGAAAGATAACTACAACATTCTGCACACAAATTACCATTTTTTTTCCTTGTCATTCATGGATGACACTGATTTTATTTTCCTCTTATAAAAGGAGACATTTTACTCTCTGTTGATTTAACAAATATTCTGAATTATATTCATTACAATAAAGCAGCTAAAAAGCTGTTCTAATCTCTAAAAGAACCTTTATCATCTGCACATGTGATATATATATATATATAAACAATCACTCAAAAAAATAATTTTGTTCAAGTGATTATATTGCACTCAGAATTCTGGAATTCCATTCTCCCTTCGCATTTTAAATCAAAGATCAGCTTCATTTTTTATTTATTCTTTAATAAAATGAAGCTTTAACTTTCTACTAAAAACAAGTAGGCATGCAATCAATATAATACAATATATTTCAAATGTCACCAAAAAGGAAAATTTGCTTATGAAACTGGAGTAAGGAACAATTCTGCAATAGGCCACGTGAGAGTAGTAAATGTAAACATTCTGCTGGCACTATGCTGTTGCAGGTGGTGCAGAGTGCAGCCCAGTTCAGCACCCAGGAGGTACAGGAAATCTGTTGAAGCATTCTGTACTTCTGTGAGTCTCCATGCAGCAATGGCACATCCAATGGACTACGCATAGACACAGAGCAGTGAGAGGATGCTGGTTACAGAGCTAACGCCGACCTCGGAGCGCAGTGATTTTGAAATGATGCTTTCCTGATGGTTACATATTCAAAGACAGCAGTGAAATTATTATTGTTGCTGCAAATAAAGTACAGAGTTAGATCCCCCGTGTGTAACTTACATTACTGTATGCCAGTGGCAGTCTGGACACTACCTTCAGCCTACAAAATCCCAGCAAGGGGCCTCTGTGCAGAATGTCACCTTGCTTTGTTCACAGGAGTGGCACCCTTCTCCATGTGTCAGAGGCAGCAGAGAAAAAACACATATGAAAAAAATAAAAAATCCTCAGCCAATGTTGAGGCCACAGATCTTGAAAATTCAAATGAAGGCAGCTGCTTCTCAACTCAGCTCTACAGGAGAACAAGATCTTTCTTTCTATCGAACTCGTTAGCTTCAGGTAACAAACATTATTAAACTTGGAGTCCCTGAGATACTACAGCTCTCTACCTGGGACAAATGGAGAGACTTTGGATACACAATAATGAGGTGCAAGCCAAGACACAGCACCCTGAGTTGCAAGTGAAACGATACGAATGGGCAACCCATTCCTGAACAGCCAAGAGATGCAGAAGAAAATGCAAAGGAGGTACTGGCTGGGGAATTAAAAGATGTGTACTGCAAGAGAGGACAGAAAAAAAAAAAGCTGATGCATTTCTACAAAGCCTTTCCCTGTCACCATCAGTGCAGAGCAGAAAAAACAAGCAGAGGGAAAATTTTTCTGAGAAAGGCCGTGAAGAAATAGGGCCTTCTATATGCACAGTAGAACAATAATGCAAAAGCAGAGACAGTTGGGCAGTCTTGTTCTCAGCGTGCTCTGAATGTTAAGCACTCCAGCACTGACTGTAAGAACTGACAGTATTCTGGACAGAAACTTAGGCAGAGAAGTAGGTAATCTTTTTCTCCTGAAACTACAGGAAAAATACAAAGAGGCAAAATACAAAGTCACAATCAAATCGGAGAACACTTTCCATAGTGAAAAATGAAATACTGGCTTCAGAAACAAAACAGACATCTGTTCTGTATCTTAAACAGGGTTAACTGTAAAAAAGAGGTGCTTGTAAAATCTTAAGTTTGAAATCCTTTATTTCCCAGTATATTGCTTATTCTGAAATTATATCAAAAAGAAATATCAGAGATGGATGTGGAAAACTTACAGCTAGAAAATGGTTGCTGAGCCATCTGAGTTTCTATAAAGGCATCAACAAAAGTGTTAAAAACTGTGCCTCATAAAATTAATTAGAATCTGAAATGCCAGATTGTCCTTACAATGGCCACGATATGAGTACTGATGGACTTCTGCAACCCTGGAAAAACTAATTGTGACTTTGCCAAAATGTGGCTTAATATAGCAATCAAAACATCCTCAAAAACAGAGTCTTGCACATCTGCGGTTTCCTTTTCTCTCAACCATTCAGCACTCAGTAAGCTGTTCTCATTAGTTAAAAGCATTACTTAGTCACAAATTTACTTTCTTATGTAGTTGTGCTGTAATCTTGATACATTCTTGGGGAAAAAAAGGAGAGTGAGTAGAAAGCCGAATAAAAGTAGACGCTATAAAAACTACCTGTAAAGTATCTAAGTCTGGAAAACATTTGTGGCATTACACAGGCTACTGTTAACATAAAGAAAAAAAAAGCAATTTAACCATTTCACAAATATGAACAATGCACTTGTTCCCAGCCATTTAGAATGCTCTGACATTCCAAATGTTCATAAAAATTGGGTAATAAAATAATTAAGTCAATACCCTTAAGTACAATAAATAATGCTGTTTATTATGGTCGGGATTGACCACGAATGTTTGTTCCATATCTGCTTGGGACATTTGTAAACCCAGTTCTGAATCCTTGAGTCGCTCCCATTCCCGGTATTCCAAATCCTTGATTGAGTACACTGTTGTAAGGTGTGGATCCGTGATTAAGGCCTAATCCATAGGGCCTTGTTTGAGTGTTTAAAAGGATAACTGGATTCACATTTTTGCCTGGTGTATTGAAAGAAAATTCTGGTGGCGGGCTGCTGGGCTTTGCTGGAGTAGATGTAATAGGGTTCAAGTTGTCAGCAGCTTTCAAAGACGGCATTGTAATAACATGATGATCCGAAAGGTTCAGCATATTGTTTGCAATAGGCACAGATGATAAGGTAGGTCTGATCCAGTCATCTTTGAAAATCTGAACAGTCAAGGTTGAGACCAATGTGTATAATCTGTTAGTGACATGGGCAAGTACCATTTGCTCATTCGCATCTCTTCGAATTCGGACATGTACTGATCCAGCCTAAAAAACCAATAAGAATAAGTTGGTGATAACTGTCACCTTCATAAGATTCTCCACAAGCATTCAAGAAGAAGCAAAGTTAGCATGCAGAGAATCACACAAAGACCTTTCTCAATGGAGATTACTGACTAAACTGGGAAGCATATCCAAGAATTCCATTACAAGAACAGATTTTGATCTTTGCTAATGTGTTGACCTCAAGAACAACATCAAGATCCTTATTCAGGAAAAGTTGAGTCTTCAAACTGAACTATAAAATACAACATGAGATGGCATGAAAACAAAAGGCAATAATAAAAAATGCCCAAGCAAAGAAGCAAGCACAGAAATTTCAATATCACACTCAAGAAAACGTATCATCACTAAGCTGCTGGAGCAGACAGAAGACAAAGTCAACAAAGTGCACGGCAGATGCTAAAAATGAAACTACTAGCAAGAATAAAGGAAAGGCACTGCCCCTCAGGGAACTCAGACTGACTTTCTCCTTAAAGCATACATGTATGTGAGCTATCCCTGCCTACCTCTCAGTAATGCTGCACTGCTCACCTTGAACTACTAATGAAAAAGTACACAAAATGAACCCCTCACATCCTTTTTCAGTTCATACTTAATAAAAGATGGTTCACAGCCACTGCTAGTTTGGGGTATTTTTATGTCAGATGGAGCAGTTTAGAGTGTACCCAGATCTCTGGAATCTACTGCAATCTGGAAGGTGCCAGTAGAAAATGTACAAGCAAAGGTCTGACCAAGCCCTTCTCCCTCCAAAAAGTAGCTTAATGGAAGGATTAAGAAGTAGAAATAATAAGAAGAAATCTAACGGTCCTAATTTTCTGACTGTCACAACATCAATACAAGAATAACTGAGTTGTTCATGATCATTCTAGATCACTAAAAAGGCTTTCTTTCTTTCAGTAGAACATCAGTGTACATCTGTAGTTGTGTTGCACTTTTTTTTCCTATTACATATAAATGCTGATATTTTGTACATAGAGGACTACAGGTTTTTTCTCCTCATAGAGAGGTTTTACACTAACACATTTTGAAAAATGTCTTTACTATTGTGTGGAGTGCCAAAATATAGAATAAGGTCTGAAATGCTCTAATTCAGAGCTGCTACATACACGAATAGTATTAACCAACAATGCTTTAAAAAACATAAGGTGGGAGAAAATAAGTTTGTTTTTTTTTTTTACAGATCACAGAAAAAGACTGAGCATTGACTCAATGCATTTTTCTTTTTTTCTTTAAAATAAATATCTTGCTACTTTTATTTAAATAAATACACTTTTTTTTAAAGACAATAAAGACATCACTTACCAAAGTGCCAAAACCTAATGTCCAAAAATGCTCATTTCGAACTTCCAAGACACCATCCAAAGTTGAAACCTAATTTTCCACAAATATCCAGAAATGTGAGAAGTTAGAAATGTTCTGATCTTCTTAGAATATTTAGAATACTTATTCACACAGCTGAACACCATTAATGAAACAGCTTCCAGACTACAAAATGGAATAGATCTGTTAATTGTAACATAAACATTTATCTACCACTTTCTCTAAACATCCAAATCCATCAGAAAAGTAGATATAAGTAGCTCAGCTTAGAGTAGCTCTCACTGTGAAACAGAAACATCGTCTAAACCTGATATGCTGTCTGTAAACAGCATTCTTTACTCCTCTTTCCCTCAACTTACATTGGTAAGCCTCTTCCACAGTAGGTTAAAACTTAGAAGAATCAACTGACCAACTACACACACTGCTAGAAAAGGCAAGTGCCAGATACCTCTGTGACACTATTTGTCTTAGATAATAAACTCCATATATTCTACATTCAGAAAAAAAAAAATTAAGAAATCCCTGAGGGATTATCTTGGATTAGTCATAAAAACTCTTTATACTCCTGAATGCTTACTTAACACTGGCTGTGCATGACATGTCATGTATTATATACTGACTTACCTCTCTAAGAAGTTTATCCAACTGGCCAAACACATGTGGTGGGGTTGTCTTGAAAAGAAAAAAAAAGTCACACTAAAGATTAACTGGCTCTGATTCAATAACAGAGCCTTTAAAACTAGTATACCTACACAAGACCAATGATATGACACAATATGTTCTTATTACTTCATGCTGAACACTCTACTGTCAGTACTCTGGCCCTCTGGCCCTTTATCAAACATTCCTCTTGGAACATTTCCCATTTACAACCTTAAAACAGATAAGGACGTTTAACAAAACTGAAATCCCCCCCAAATTCTTTTGCAATATTGCCTTACCTGTAGCAGTACTTTCCCACTGTAGACACTCATGGGGTACATTGTACCAAATGTCATCAAAGCTATTGCTATAGCTGATGCTGTGTCTACAGCATAGTAATTGCTGAAGAAGAAAAAAAAATAAGGGAAAAAGGGGAGTGCTATTATTGAAAGGCATGAGGACTTTAAAAGAAAGAAAAAATATCAGGAGAAACTACGTACAAATTGAGAAGATTTTAACTATGTATCTTTGAGAAATGGCAAATACATTAATGCAACTGCAAATTCATTCATACATAATACAGCTATTGACAAGAACAGTCTTTTCACATAAGAAAAAGCAACTTCCCACAGAACGAATATAAAATGAATTTCATTAAACAACAACTATACATACTTGATTTCAATGAGCATATACGTAATGCAAAGAGCTAGAGCTCCAGCAATATCAATCAAGACAAAAGGGTTCATCCGTGGTAGAAAGATGCTACTCAGTCCTGGGATGATTCCACAAATACTGAAACAAAACCAAACAAGCAGTTGTTAGCTAGTTGTTCATTACTACTTCCTAACTACAAAAACCATAAGAGTTAGACCCACTACTTCAGAATGTGGCACCCTGCAGTCACAGCAAACGATACCTCCAAGAACCCTAAAAGCCCTTCTAACTCTGCTCATACTTAACATTTTACAATAGTTTGACATTCAGATTTTCGTATCAACAGCATAAGTACTCAAAAAGGTAAGTATAACTAAAAGTAAACACTTTGATACTTGACAAAAATATCTGAAAATGATTTTGTCTTGCATTCAGGTAACAGTACAGCAGGAGAGTTAAAAGCTAAAATGAATAAGAAACTTTGAATCAGTGCCTGGAAGACACAGGCTCTCCAGTTTTCTGCTGGATAGGTGAGGAGATTCCATAGCCAGTTTCACATATTACACTTAAACTGCAATCATTCCAGCTGCTTGCTTATTATACAGAGTAACTAAAAAAAAAAAAAAAAAAAAAATCACTCTAAGATATATTGACCAGATAGATAATAGCTGTTGAGAAACACAATTCAGGTCTGTACCAAACAAAGCTAGTTTACCTCACCCCTTCCAAGCAGAATTATATACAATGTACTGAATGCATTCAAAAGGAAGGTTATACAGAAAGATGTATTCCTATGAGATTGACACATCTTGGAAATATGAAAGATAATGCTTTGGCTGGAGTCCACACGTTGGATCAGTAAATAACGCTGCTTTAAAAACCTCTAAAACGCAACAGCTCATCTCAACATCTTTCAAAATTGCTATTATGCACAAAAACAACACTGCCTCCCAGAAGTTAGCTGCTAAAAAAAACAGAGCTTTACCTTCTACTGAGATCTGCAACGTGCTCCTGAAGCCAGCTCGTGCTTGCAGCTTCAAAAGAAAGTTAATGAAATGACTACAAGTAAAGTAATCCATTTTAGAAAACACTTCAAGTTTTATTTTAAGGGAAGAACCCATTACACTGTGAATAAATAAATGCATCTCAGCAGAATCACTGTCACATTAACAACACAAAGTCTGGCTTTTCTAGGCAGTAAGTAAAATGCTTGTTTCATATAACAACCTGAACTGACTAAATACAAACATAATTTCAGGTTACGTTCAACGTAGTTATCTCCACATTACATAAAGTATAATGCATACATAGCAATTATAACTACATAATTTACACAAAATTACATTCACTGAAATGAAGCATTGTGTATGGCAAAATATACAGAAAAGCATGGAAAAAACAATTTCTCCCACTTGATTAGTATTCAAAATACTCAGTGTCTCAGCAGCTAGTGAGAGTGTCTGCAAGATTATTTCACAGTGGAAAAGTGGGAGGTAAAAGTACTGTTAAGAAGAAATTACTATAATCATCTATTTTCAATCCATGAATAAATCAATAAAATGTTTTAAAAGTAAAATTTGAAATATGACCTTGAGTTTACAAGATAAAAAATAAAGGGTGCTTCAGTATTATGGCGATACTCAGTTTTCAGCAACAGCTACATAGAAATTCTGAGAGCCACATAAGCAAATCAGTGATGAAATCTGGAATGCAATTCTGAACTGCATTAAGCTCAGAAGTAATAGTAACATGAACCAGGTAGGCTAAGGAAGTTAACCAGACAAGTTATTCTGTCATAAAAAAAGAAACATTGAAACCTTTTCTTAATTCTTAGTATATTTTAATCACATACCTTCAGAGACATAAGCAAAAGGCTTATTCCTCACAGAAAGCATTGTAAATAAGTTGAAAAAAAGAGCCACAAAAGTACCAACTAGCAGTCGCCCCCTAAGGAAAGAAAAAAAAAAGATAGCTATTTCATATTATCAACAATATGCATGAAATAAACTGTAATTACTGCTAACAGGGTCATACCCACTTCTCTTAGCAGCTTTCATTGAAATCAAAAGTGAAAGTAAGATAAGTTACCATACTGTCTAATAACTGACAGCATATTAGCATTCCAGGAGGAAAAAATGAAATCTCTAAATATCATGCATTAACATTATCACATCACACTGAACACAATGTTCATAATGTTGAGTAATTGCACACGTGTGTATGTACACATGCACATATACACATATACACACGTATACATATGTATAACTGCAGTTGTACATTTACACACACTGTCCTTTGAAGTTTAATAAATATATTGTCCCTTTAGCAGAAATAATATTTGTTTTCCTACAGAAAGGGCACAAGGCCCCTACTCTTTACTAGAACTATTATTTCATCACATCTTCCACCCTTTCTTTTCCCTTTTCCATGTTCTTTGCAGTCATCACCGTCTTTGTAATAAATCCAGTTCCCTAATGATTACAGCATCTTTCCCTCCAACATACCAGGCCTCCTAATGCATGATTTAGCAAGAGGCAGCAGATACTACAACACTTTGCAAACTATAAATGCACTGAGGCCAGTCAGCAGACTTGTATGCTCACACAGAGTCTTTCCTACAATGTGAGCACAAACCTGGCTTCCTCTTCTGCACCCCAGCTTCCAAATATCAAAAAAAAAAAAAAAGAAAGCCACATTAACTGCCTACCTCTAATAAAATTTTGTAAAATTATAGGGAGACAAAGAACAATCAATAGCAAATGCCTAATGTCTTCCCTTAAATGAGGTCTGGGGAGGGGAGGAGCCAGGATGCACCTCTTCCAGTCACTCAGATGTATTATAAGCACCTAAGCTCGCCCTGGGTTGGCCCTGCCTTCCTACCAGGTGCTCAAGCACTGGTTCAGGCCATGACTCAGCATTTCTGCTACAACATGCCAGACTAAGAATTAGGAATACAAAGGGAATCGTATTCATATATCAAAATAATTTCTTACGTGTGTATCTCAGGCTGTTCCAGAAATCGCTCTGCACTACAAAAACAATGGAAAATTTGAGTTACATTGTACAATAAAGACTTGACAACTGAAGCATACTTATGTTCTGAAAAAATAGCTGCCATCCATACACAAAACTAACAGATATAATATTGGGAAAAACAAATTACTTAAGCAAGCACATCCGTTTTTGAAATTATGAAAATATGTATCACTGAGATGAAGCAGGATAGATTCTTTCCAATTATTTCCACACTGTGCCATGTACACAACAGCTATCATAGGCATTGTCTACACATTAAAAAGATGCTTGTAAATGAACATGTCAGAAAATACTGCTACTCTCTCCACTGTTACTACAGGTAATCAGAACAAAGAGAGTTTGAAATCCCTGACAGCTTCTCACTAAGTAAGGTCAAATAAAGCAGGCATTCTGTGGTGGGGATACAAAGTTGTTGTGTTTTTATCCACCAGTGAGATAAGAAATAACCTTCAGCTGTAACAAAGAAAAACCTAGGATAAGTTTTGGGAATTTCCTAAAATCAGTGCCAGAAAAGTTGGAGGCTTTCATGGTGTCTCATTATTAAAATCTGTTCCAGAGCATTTTGGGACAAGAGATCAACTAACATTGTAACATTTCTGCGTTGTTAATACACACCTTGACAGAGAAAATAAAACCTTCCAAAAGGAAAAAGGAAGATAAGTCGCCTCCATTCTATGTGTCAACAAAAGCCTTTTCATTTTTTAAGAATTAAATAATTTTTGAGGCTAAACACCTGAAACACCACCTACACCTGGAACCTCTTGTACATCAAATTAAAGCTAAAGCAAATTTTGTGGGATTGATGAAATTGCTAGCTTAAACATACAGATCCTTAACATATTAAGAAGTTGCTTCACTTCATGGTGCAACTTACAGAAAAAAGTTTTCTTTAGTAATTAACTTAATGAGTCAAGATGCATAGGGAGACACATTACATCAAATTCCTAACAGTGCTTGGAAAATATCATTCCTAAAAACACAGTCTTTTCCTTGACAGTTGTTAAATTCCAATTACCAGTTCCTATCATTTTAAAGTCCCCATGCAGAGTAATCAATATAAATTAGAGATTAGGTTTACCAATATTTTTTCTACAATTTATCACTACAGATAGCATTTGTAGAATGCATATGCTTTTGCTCAAAGTGGACTATCTTCTTATACAAGAAAAATCAAAAGAAAAACGAACAGATCCCTACCTTTCTTTCAGTATAAAAAGAGCACCAAGCTGCGCCAGAACCGTAGAAGCAAATACAGCTAGAACTTCAAACCTCTCAAACCTGAAATTTAAGAATTAAGTTATAGAACTTTCAGCAACTCACTGAATGCATTGCAGTCTGCAGAGAAGCAAGTGGAATAGACCTACTACTTCTAATTCTTTCAAGTGGAGATAGAGGAGAAGAAACCGGAAACAAAACAATTATTAATTAAGCCAGAATTCCAATTACCACAAACAAACCTTTTTCTGACAGAAGAAAGACTACAATTTCCAGCTTAAAATTACACATTTCTTAGTTCTTTTTCTTGTTTCTTCCCTTTCCTCTCCTCCTGTATACTGTGCCTGTTCTTTAGAGAACCAGTCTTTACACATATCAGTTCTCTGTGGTGACTGTTACAGAACATAAGCAAGGATATTCAACAATGAATCAAATGCTGTATTATCAAACACTGAATCTTGTTAACAGTACTCACCCAAATGAATAGACTGGACTGGGTTTCTTCACCATTACCCAGTAGCTTATTAGACATGTTATCAAACTGAAGAAAAAAAAAAGGGGGGGGAGAATTAGACTCTAATAAACAAGTATGGCCTTCACAAACTCCAAAGTATACACACATCTGCTTCAGCCATCAGAACTGAATTATCAAATGTAACATTTTACCATGAACTCAACCCTTTCATCACTATCCCAATGAGGTTTCCAGTGAATCCAGAAAAGACTGTTTGGAAACAGAAGGGATGTTGCAAAGACATCTAAGCTGTCCCCAGAAAATGGACAGCAAAGAACCATACAGGCAGCCAGTCAAAATGCTTATATCAAGAGACAGCCAACATCATACTTACAACATGCTGCACTTTCAAAGGCTACCATCAACATCCAATGCAGAACATCGCTCAGCCTAAATCAAGTTTGTCACAACCCCAAATATAATGCATTTTCCACTGACATCTTGATAGGCACAAACAGTGTTTATTTTGCATGCAAACTGAGTTCCTCTGAAGGGCTACCAGAGGCAACGTGAGGTCAGACCTGAATCTGTCTAACAGAGAAAGGTATTTTAAGAAAATCTTCTTTATATTGTCTGATATCACACTTACAAATGAAGAGTACAAAGCAAAAGTTTAAGAAATTAACAAAGGAATCTGATCGTTGTCAACACAGCTATAGCATTTCTCATCTATTTATTGTGATGTACAATTTTACATTCATTTAAACCAGCTGGTGTTCCATCACTGGTGATTCACTGGTTTGTGTTTGTAAATGCATTTTCTATGTAAATAAATAAACAAAACCAGGCACAAATGAACTGTAAATGGAAAAAACTCACCTGAAAAGATCAAAGATTGTCAAATACGTGTAAGCAGTTAAAGCTGCAAAAAAAGCAAATATTTAAATCTTAATTTCTCAGTCACTTGTATTCTTCTGCTAAATCCCTCTACTGCATCTCTATGCCATTTTCTATTTAAACAAATGATCTCTGCTGATACTGCAGAGTACTCTCTTTTTTGTATGTGCATGTAATATGAATGTTTTGAAAACACCAGCATCTCTCACTTCATGAACAGGTTGATTTTGGCCATCCAAATTCTACTAAATGCCCAGCTACATGAAGTATTCAGCTACCAGGAATAAATAGTTGCAACTAAGGTCTTAAACACAGAGAAGTTGGGAGACCTTCTTGTAATGCACTTCACCAAAGCAAGAGATCTCTTACATACATTACTACAGGAAAAAGTAGGTTCACTAGTTTTGCTTCTCTAACTCATCTAAAATAGCAAGAAAACTTATGTCACAAACTGAAAACATGGGGCATTCTACTTTCAGTACTGCTGATAGAGAGCATCTTGGAGCCCCTGTACAAAAACAGGTAAAATACAAAGCTTTTAAAAGAGGCATTCCTGAAATTAGAGAATGTTTTTGCCACATTACAGCTGCCTTCAACCAACTGCAAATGAGGAGCTCTCCATGTTGCCAGTATTACTTCTCTAAGTAACAGCTTAGCTTTGAGGACTAATTTAGAATTCTGTTTTTTGTAGTCTTACAGTAAGAGGATGCTACATGGAAAAAAAAAAAACAAGAAGTCTGGAAATCCTTGCACACCCCTCTGCAAGAAATGCTTCCACAACAACCATGGCAAATGAAAAGGAGGCACCTTCCAAACCTGGCTTCTCAGTCACTCAACTCCTTTACAGCTCCTTGCAGAGCTTTGATTTGTAGTACTCTGGAGCTTCATGAGTGCAGAAACACAGTGTAGCTGTTAGAAAAGTTTCATTGCAAGAGAGCCACCTACCTATGCTGTTTGTAGAGCTGCACCACATTAGCAGGAAGCCAATACATATTAAATTTATAGCACCAAACAGCAAGATCTTCCAGGACTGTTGAGGAGAATAAACATGTAAATTTTGGAAGATGTAAAATACAAGACAAAAATATACCTATCATATTAAAAAAAAAACAAAAACACAATACTGTAGCATTTCATCATGCAAGCAGAACTCTGTTTCTCCCAGAAACATACAACTGACTTTAGGGCAACAATCTCACATGCTAGTTTAATTTTACAGATTGTCCCCAAAGTCATTTTCAAACAGCATTATGTACTACACTTAAAATATTTTTTTTTATCTGAAAAAACACCCCTTCACAGCATTTGCATCTAATTGTAGCACATTTCTACCTGATTTTTCAAGACAGAACTGTGACAGCTTTCTATTTCCTACCCTCAGTTCTGAGGGAAAATTACAGTCAAAAGACCTAAGCAGGTTCCATTCTTTATGCTAGAAATTTGGTCCCAAGAACACCCATGCAGCTTCAGCTTACAGTTCTACCTAATGCATTAAACATAAGCACAGTTCTGGGGAAAACTAATTATCAGGGACAGGCCACAGAACTCAAACTTCACAGAAAGTTCAACTCAATTTAAGAATAGAAAAGCATCCTTACTATTCATAGCACTAATAATCATGCAGTATCTGTATACTTTGGCATACAAGCGTATTTATAGCAAACAGCATTACTGTGATAATCTTACTGTCTAATGCATAAGCTCACTGTGAAACTAAATTTAAAAAATAATCACTTTTTAAAAGTACAGCTATATTTTTTTAATATACTTCCCATAATTTGCTTAAATTAATAGCATATCTCAACTTATCACGACTAATATCTTTATTATTTATTTCCAAAAGAAATACTCACCCTTCTATCTGCTGCAACCAGCCTAAATTCATGTGTTAACTTTCCAACCAATGACCTCTGTGATTTGCGGAACAGATGTATTGTCCCCTTAAAAAAGTTAAAGTTTAATTAAATATTTTACCCAAACCCTGGTTTAAATTAAAAAAAGAAGAAGAAAAAAAAAAAGTGAACTATTTCCACAACAAAAGCTCATTCCAATTTGTTGATAAAATTAACATTAAATTCAACAGTACCTCTCAATAACAGTTTTGTTTATAACAATACACGTCCTGTTACTACAAAACGATGACTGACTTCACGTTGACACAGACCAGAATTCACGACAGGAGAGGCGCTTCCAAGCCGGTTACCTAACCACACACAATCAGCTTACAGACACACCTGTCAACACAGCTGTGTTTCACGCCGCTCTCAGTATCTGCAGGCACACCCACGTTTTGTTCGGTACCACGAGTATCAAGCAGTATCACAGACTGCAAACGTACGCTCCCCGGGGCAAAAGCCCAGCACTTACTGTCCTCTCTCCGGGCAAATCGTTCCCGAGCCCTCCCCAGCACACCAAGGATCACCCCCACCTGCCGCCCTGGCGGCCCCGGAGAAGCCACCTGCGGCGGGGACGCTCCGGCCCGTGCCCATGGAGATCCGACCCGACGCAGCGGGGCGGACCCGGGCGGCCACGTCACCGCGGGCCCGGCGGGGCTGCCCCGGGAGCGGGACGGGAGAGAGGCGCCGCAAGAGGTGCTGAGAGACGACGCGCTCCGGGCTCGGAGCCGGAACCCCCCCGGCCTGCCCGGGAGCGGCGGCCCAGCCCCTTCAGCATCCCGCTGCGACCCGCGGCGCCCGTCCCGTCTCTCCGTGACGCGTCCAGCTCACCATAGTACTCCCCGCACCGGAAGAGACGGCGCCATGCGAGGCCGGAAGAGGCGGAGGGGGCTTCCGTCGCTGTGGTAACGAGCGGACCCTTACAGGCGGGCGCGGAACCGGAAGTGACGTATAACGGCAGCGCCGCCTGGGCGCGGCACGAGCTCCTCACGTGCCCGAGCCGCTCCGTCCCTTCGACCGTCGGCGCCACTTTCGCTGCGGGGAACCGCGCTCCACGGCGACTTCAAAGTGGGCGGGCAGCTTTGTTTCTCCGCCCCCTCGCTCAGTTAATGCTCCGAACGAAAATATACCTAAAGCCGGCATAGGCGATATTTTTTTATGACGGGTCGTGGAGTTAAAAACCGCAAATTCGTAGCCCCAAAAACGATTGGGGTGACACTGCGGATGTATGGTACACACCACAGAAACTTGTTTGCTAATTGTGAGAAACTGCGTGTCACACAACTCAGAAGATACACACAGACACCAGCATTTTTTACACATAACAGAACCAACGGCCTGCCACGATATTGCACAGCTAAGGCAAGTTTGAGGCCTTTTAGAAATCAGTGAGATCTGACAATGATAACGTTACAGTGTAAGAACATATTTTGCCTACAACATACATTCACAGAAATAAAAACAGACCTTAACAATATTTGGGTGAAACAACACACTTAGCTTGTGAGAGCAGTCCCAGCTTTCTTAAACTCCCACTGCCTTTTTCTCTTGCTACACCACAGCACCTGCAACAAATCATTTACATGAGCTGTGGTGAATTTTCGTTAAATTCCAAGTAATATTTTCTCCATTACTATTACACAATGAAAAATGACTTACAGAGGGTTGCGTAACTCTTGCCTGTTCCCAAGCCAGACGTGCTCTTGCAGAAAAAAATACTGGATTTCACAGTTGATAAACTATTTGGAAACTTCCTGAAATAGCATCAGTGAAAAAAAAAATAATTTTTTTCCCCTTACATTTTCTGGCAACCCTAAGGCATTGAGATACAGAAACAAACAGATTTCCATCTGCAATGTCTGCATCTGATAATAGGCATTGAGTCTCGTCTCACACTATCTTGGCTAGAATGAGAGAAGATTCATCTTTTAATGAGTCTGGCACACTTAGATCAGGATATACTGCCAAGTCCACAATCTCTGTAGATCCCAATATAGCAAGTACTAGGATATTGTTTTCAGCTTCTTGGCTCTTCATTAAGTTTAACTATGCACCTTCTCTCAAAGAATCAGAGTCTGGATATTTGTAACCTCTATGCATTTTGAAGCAAAGTAAATTGGTGCAAATTGCTGTTTTCAGGACTGTTCACCATGATGACCACAATTAGTGTAACAGCTCCTATTTTCCACTGTGATTTAGCAAGAGTAGGATAAGCATATTTTCAGTAAATTAATGTCGGAAGCAGCCCTTGCTTACATCAGAAAGTAAATGAGGTATTTACATATTTATTGTTCCATCACCCAGTAGGCATACAACACCTGATTTTACTTATTTATTAAAGCAGTAATAACTTAATCAGATTCAGGTTTAATGAGAAGGCTCACAGCTTTGGACATTTTATCTGATAAACAGACAAGAACAGTAAGAAAAGGATGAATGCAACATTTTATTGTGAAGCTAATGCTATGTGACTGCTCATCATGCTGTCTTACATTGCTTATTAATAAAGCGGTGTTCAACATTTCAGAAAACGTTCTTTAGGGAACACTGAAGCATAAATCCCTCAACACAACAAAAGACAAGAATAAACCCCATCCCAAACTGGAGTTATTCGCTGTATTTAACATGGTAGGGCATAGCAATTCGCCTCCACCTTTCACTTTTGTCACTTAAATTCAGATTTTTGAAACCATTGAATGAATTCACATGAATAAAAATTTGAATTGTGACAAAGACAGTTTCTATATTCTCAGCTCCTTTGATAGTTACGCAAACATTAGATCAAGTACTTCTCACTTCAAATGGTAAAAACAAAACAACCCCTGCAGAACCAAGACTAGGCCTTTAGCATTCCTGAAAGAATAAATCTGCATTAATCAACTATGAAGTTAATCTTCTTCAAAGCCAGTCTCTGAAACAGAACTTTCACAAATGTTTTCTTATGAAGACAAAGTCTTATAACTAATCACCTGTTTCCAGACATCATGTCAAGAACTTACAAATCAAAAAGATGAAACTGAAGGGTACTGACAGAACTCGCAGCATTTAACCAATACATTTAATCCACTGGAGGAATGTCTACCTTGTCAATTATTGCTGAACTGAGGAGGTAGTTATTGACAAAGTAAACAGTTTACACCAAGACAGTTTGTAATTTACAAGAGAAGTAGGAAGAATATAATACACATTTCCCTGTACTTTAGATGATTCTGTCTTTGCAGGAAACTAGTTTACTTCCATGTCCTCTTGAATTATAGTTACAGTATTTAAAAGAAAATATTTTATAAAGTTTTATCTATTGGTCATCTGGTCATCTCTTAGGATGACCATGGAGACTTAAGTAGGCAAGCAAAACAACATCCTTCAACACCAACCAGCAGCTCAAAAGAGCCTAACAGCGAAACAGGTAACTGCCTCTAAGAAGCACGATTAAGGGAACTGTTCTCTACTGCCTGCTTGTTACCTTTCTACCAGTTGTCAGAAATAGAAGTCCCTAGAACTAAAAATACAGGAGCTTAAGACTATCACTGAATGAAGATCTGTAACCTACAATAGTGCTTGCCATCTCCCACAGCTGCCACATGCAGAAACATCACTAAAGCATTAGAATAGCTAAACTTAAGCACAACTATGCGATTATCCATGTCCTGTAGGAAAGCAATAGAAGACTCTAGCACACAAGAAATTTCACCATATGTGGATAAGGAAGTCCTAAGCAGAATGCTGCTTTCCATATCGGTTGCAGACACTTCAGTTAAATTTGCCAACGTATCTGACTTCCCCATACTTAAATTTCACAAGATGTACTACTTAACAGCTGTGCCAGCTAGAACTTGCTTGTTAAGAACAGGAGAAAAAGCTACCAATTTATTCTATACTGGAAGGTAAGTTGAATGGTCACAGAAGTTGTATGTGTAAAAACCTGTCATTTTAATCATATTCAAAAGAATCCAACAGGGAAATCAGCATCTGCTTCTAATTAGTGAAGTGAGGACTTCCCACTTCAGATTCCGTTCCAGTTATCAAGTGTTACTATTACATTTGGAATCTAAATAATACAAGTTGCAAGGCCATATTCAACAAAACTATCACTGACCGACTTTCTTTAGTACAGTTGATAAGCAGCTTTGGGGAGCTTTGCCTGTTCCTAATGCATTAAATTCTATAATTCTGACAAAGTAAGAGAACTGGTAAGACTTGCAAGTGCATAAATATACTACTTCAAGCAACCTGCTGCCTTAAAAGACATTGCTCCTCCAACAGAAAGAAAGACAGAACAGGTATTTCCTGCTTAATAAAACAGGCAAAGATGCACAAAAAAAGATAGTTTTAAAAAGCAGCAGTCTCAACACTTTTTTTCCTTCCCTCCAGTAAGAGTTTAATTTTAAGCCAGTAAAAAACATGTGCAGCAAGCTAGACAAGCTGCTTCCTAATCATCTCTAAGAAGTGGGTCAAGTCATTCATTAGCAGTGGACAGATTCATCCAGGGAGGGAAAAAAAAGTCAGTTTAGAGTTAATGCAAACGTAACCTTTACAAAGGTTAAAAGCATCCAAGCTGTTGTTCTGCTTATCCTAACTCAAGATACTGTATTAGAACATAATCTGATTTTATGACATATACAGTTGCAATGTTCTGTACAAAATATGAGCGTTGTGGGTTCCCCTCTCCCTGCTTTGTTTTTAGATTTGCTTTTATACACAGTTAATCTAGCACACAGATGAAAACCACTGAGCTGGAAATTACTCAGTGTATGTAACATCAGAAAACAGAAGACATGATTAAATATTCTGAGAGGAACAGAATTATTATTAAGAGAGACTATTCAGGAAATACTGTAAATGTAAATGAGATGTAAAGGTAATTTATGAACCAAATGGCACTTGGTTATGGACTAAAAAAATACAGCAACTGTTGGGGCAAACAGATGAACAAAATCAAGCTCTTTTTACTGTGTTCCAGAAGTCATTCACAGAGCTTCAATTCAGCCATTACATAGAAAACAATTAAGGTAGGATAGACACCAAAAATCATTACTGGACACTCTCTAGTTGAACAGTTTTTCTTTTCCTTTCTGAGGTAGCAGCTCAGGCTTCTGACCTTTTGTGCTGCTTGCTTGTGGTGTTTTAGCAGATGCAATGTTCTACCTTTACATTTTAGGTAAATGTCACCTGCCAATACTCATTTGAAATTAATACCAAATTAATACCACTATATTCCTCAAAATTTAATGAAGCAAAATTGAGTTTGATAGAAAATACTTAAGAACCCTTACAACCACAGAAGTGTTATCTCAGAGTTCCCATTTGCAAAGGAACTCAAGGAAAAAATTGCAAGCTTGATCAACAGGAAGACCAAGGGCATTTCTTATCTGTTTAGTTATTTGGCACATGGTAATAAAACAGTAATACCTGTGTTTAACAAAGTCTGTGACAATTACATATTACACTAGCCAGAAATCTCAGACAAGGACAGTCAAGTGAAGGTGGAATTGAGGCAAAGCAAGCAAGACTAAGATCTGAAAAACTAAACTCTTTCAGCATTTCTTCTCTGGGAAGGTTGTTCAGGGTAACAGAAATCACATTTCATTTATATCAGACACACATTTGATAGAGTCATACCCTTAGAAGGCTAGAAGTGGTTTGGTTAGAAGTAGTTTCAAAAGGCATACTAGTGTAACACAATCTTTTCTTATATTAAAATAAAAAGCAATTTAAAAAGTTAAAAGCATCCCTGGTTTAAAAAAAACATACAAATCCCAAGCATACTGCACACACACATCTCAAAAGCTTTACACAGCTTCAGCTGCCTAGTTCACTGCATGGTATTTGGAACACCCAGCCCTCTCTTGGTATTACTATATTTGCACTGCATCAGTTATGTTTCTTCACATATACAAAAATACAGTCAATTTTCAAATGAGTAGTCCCAGAAATATTTAAGACTCACTCCTTCCAATAAAGTTAAAAGGACAAAATGTGCCATTCAAACCAAAAGAAAATGAAACAGATAAATGAATTTAGTTAAAACAACTGTAAACAATACACAACTTTGCAATATCATTAAGTTGGGAGAGTTGTCTTTTTAATTTTAAAACTGTTCTAACAAGAAACTAGCATTCTGCCTTACAAACATCTCAGTGTTTGATGCAGAATTCGTAAACGCTGTCAGGCCTTTAGAAGTAAAGGCAGAGATGTTTTATTACAGTATTTAAAGGCTCACATTTTTTTAATAGCTTGTCATTTATATAATAAAAATCCAAGTATTTGTACAAAGATGCAGTTTCTTTCAAAAAAAGCAGATCAGTTGAGTGTTTCATACTTTAATATATAAACCAAAACATATGAAAGCTATAAAAACATTAATGTTCGCAATGTATTAAACATGTAGCCTTATGTTTAAAGGTTAAATGTGTAGATTAAAAAAATTACACAATGGAAATTTCACTTTCAATGACTGTAGCCAGACCAAAATACAAAGTAGAAACACATTTCTGAAACTTGACAATTAGCATCACTTACTCTCTCAAACAGCTGGTCTTCAAGTTGCACACCATAAGCATAAGCTAACATTCTACCAATGGAAGCGTTACAAATTGCATTAAGAGAAAATACTGCCAGTAAATGAACGTCTTAGTCTACTTTTTATTTAGTCATTTTCTTAAAAAAGCAGTTTGAATTGGTTTTGTAGTTTTTCTTTTTTGCTGTTCTGCTATCAAAGGTCTTTTTTAGAACTGTTCCGTGAACAATGCACTCACATAAAACTAAACAAAAAGACAAATAATAACAGACCAGCTGCATTTTACATTTTAATAACTGTAATCCCCCAATGCTGTTCTTCATCTTTGCACAGGGAATTTGTTTTATTTGGCACATTAAAGGTAAAATAAAAAACACAAAAGCAGAACCAAAGGTTACAAAAAAATCCAACTATTAGTAGTTATCAGGAAGCCAGACATCAATGTCATGGCAGAATTAAAAACAAAAATAACACACAACATAGGGAAAAGGTCTTCCAATGATCAATATCATCAGAGCCTTCCAACTGAAACAGAATATGCATACTGTTCAAACTATGATCAGATTGGTAGGAATCTTATCCAAAGTCCTATTGTGCTCTTACTTACAGTGTGTAAATCCTCACTAAACGGCAAGGAGGTTTTGATGGATTTATTTCACATTGTATAATTTTTTCATATTCTCAAGTTTTAACGCAGATACTCAAAGATCTGCCAAGTCCTGTAAACTTTGGCTGCTTTCCAGTAGTCTGTACTCCTGCTCCTTAGGCAGCACTTTATTCCACTTAAAGTAGTGTTTCACACCGTGGTATCTCCAAAGTCCTTGTTCCAACGAATGTATGCTTCCAGTGTCTGAGGACTCAAACTACGCTTTATCTTCTTCAAAGACTCAGTGAAATCTGATAATTTAATATTTCTCATCTAAAAGAAAAGCAAAAGACATTAGGATCACGAGCAGTTAAAATGCTTCAGTTTATTCAAAAAGTACTTCCATATTTACTTCTAACATACTTCATATAATCTGATGCAATAGTCTCGTGTCATTTAAGATTATCAGTATTTTCTTTATTATGTTTGATAACTACGTTAGCTTTGTTACTTGATAGCCCATGAGTGCGTGTTACTGCTTCCTATTCCACTAGGTGGTGCAAGCCAGCACACATTAGGACACAAATCTGATTAAAGTACAATGTGAGATTTTTAAAACATTCAAAGCGTACCTTAAGGCACTAAAGGTCCTCCACGCCCAAAACAAGATAAACAACAAATGTATTCAAGATCACAGTAGGCTGTCAGCCAAGGAAATCTTATCTCACTTCTTTGATTCAACACATGCCTTTCAGTTTGCTGAGAACATGATTATAAGTAGGCCCTTCCTCATACAGAGATATGTTCAGACACAGTGGTAGGTAGGCAAAGAGTGTGTAAGAGCAGTCGCATCATCAAATAAGTATTAATGTTACAAATGGTGCTGATCCGCCAGGTTTCACTGGGACTAGAGTTTATAGGCTACTGGAAGTAAACTTGCACTTACAGTAAAGTCACACTGATGTTCTCTAGTTCCTAGAAAAAAATATTTTCAACTGACTGTAGCTCTGATCTAAGGCCAAAATAGCAAGCAACAGGTGTTTCATAGTTTTCCCTACATGAAACTGATTTCTAAGTACTTTTGAGTAGAAGACTTTTTAAAGAGCCGATTTCTTTTCATCTAGGTTTAGCGATTTAAAATTGCTCAGAGGTTCTTCTTAAGAGACTTGTTTCATGTAAAGACAAAAAAACATTTCATACAATACTTCTGGGAAGTTTTGGAGAGAGCAACACTGAAAAAAAAACAAAAGCCGGGTCTCCAATGTCATCTGAGAGGTATCATGAAGTTCCAGCTCAGTATAAGGGAAAAAACAGCATAGTCAGATGAAACTAACAATATTGGAGATCAACTATGAGAAAAAGAGGCACTCAAACTTGACAACCAAACTATACAAAGAACCTCTGATATCTCAGGGTAGATGTTCCTTTCCAATCACAGTTTTAAAGAGCCTTCTTAAGTAAGGAAGTAATCACAAAGATGTAACAGCCAAGAAAAAACAAACTTGTGTTCTGTGTGATATTAGGCATAAGTAAAGAGACATTAAAAGATTCTGCTGAGCTTGTGTTCCATTCAAAAAGGAAAACAATTGCTGGAACAGCATACCTCACTGGCAGACATGTTCTTCACTTGCTCTGGTTTTAATTCTGTGAAAATAAAAGAGAGATCACTGAATTCTGTAGGAAAGCCTACTCCTTCTGACAATTAAAACATGCTAAATGTACTTTTATTTGGAACAACACTATAAACAAGATACTTGTCTATCTGCCACAACATAATCTTCCTTAAGAAAAATACATGGTGGTGTTTTTCTCTTCCTTCCTTTTCTTCCCATTAAACCCTCCCATTCATGCTGCTCCCAAAGTGACTCATTACAGATACAGTACAAGATGTTAGCAGAACTACATCCTTCCTCACAAATGGAAGCATCCAAGTATAAAAGCTGCCCTCCACCATTTTATTCTTAGGACCTACAACCTTCTCTACCAGCAGAACATGCACAGTTCTCAGCAAACAAAAGTACTATCAGCCAAGAATACAGAAATAAATCAGGTAGACACCTAAGACTGCATCTCACTGCATACAGTTCTAGTGGGAACTCATCAACTCAGTAGCCCTTCTCATTTTACAGTTTTCTTCTTGAAGTACTATTACGGTATCAACATAGTACAGCGAACATTTTGCTCTGAGGGTACAAAGAATGTAGGTGAGATCAGCAAGGCTGACATTAAGTTATGTTTTTTTATATTTTATTTGGAAGCCAGGATCAGGTGGGTAATTTCTATGGTCTCTTCTCAACATGGACTTGCATGTGACGTGATCTGCCAAAATAAAATTTGTATATCTAAATGCATACACTAATTTAACCACTCTACATAAACATCTTCAATGTCTTCAAGGGTAGTGCAATTTTTTAGAAGCCTAAACATAAAAGCTATGCAAGCTTACCTCGGATAGGACCCAGTGCTGCATCCTTTGCTAATGCAGTTAAATCACTTCCAGAGTATCCATCTGTCATTCTTTAAGAAGAAAAAGGGGGGGAGGAAGAGGAGAGGAAGGGAAGAGGAGAAAGAGTGCTTCAAAACACCTTGTTTTTAATTACACATGGTTAAGACATTATTTTGTTCTCCAAATTTAATAAACTAGTAGCGCATTCAATGTAACTGATTATATGCAAGTCTCTTCCAGATAAATTTTAGGGACAGATATTCAAAATCCTGCCTAAAATGTAAGGAGAAGCAAGACGACAGCAACCACTTAAGACTTGTTCTCGTAACAGAAGCTTGACTTCTGTTTTCATCAACATCTTACTGCTAGTTTGTCATCATTTAATTCAACTGTCTCATAACCCAACATAATGAGAATCCAATATCACATAAAATCTATGATTTGATAACTAACCTTCTGAGTAAAACAGTATGTATTTTTAGTTAATACTGGTGCCAAACAAATGGCAAAAGCAGATACTTCTAAAAATCTAATAGCAGTATTTGGTTTTGAAAGTGACAGTTTCACAGTATGCTCTTTATGAAAAGCCTCAGGAACAGCTGACTAGTGGATACCAGGGAGTAAATCAATCTACTAATTCAGTAGAGGAACTCCAAGTCTTTAAAGCAATATGTCTTTGTTTAGCAAGTTACAGTCAGAGTTATTTCTGGTGGAGTACCTTTTTCTTATGTTTGAGACTATACTCTAGAAATAATTGGCAACTAACTCTCAGAATTTGCAGTTTTATTTTCACCATTTAATATCTCGAAGAATAAAGCTCCCCACTGAACTGGGAAGTCACAGATACTGCTAACATAAGTAAGATGTTACCTAAAAGTGATTTTAATATGAAAAGCTCACCCAACTGTAGAATTGAAGCTGGCTATAACAAGAAACCAAAACCAATATGGGTTCATGAACAGAAAGTCATATCTCACTAACTTAATATCCTTTTATGACAACTTTATCCACTTTTATGAATGGAGGGAAAGCCACAAACAGGATTTTTTTTATTACAAATAATAGTTTTTGATACCGTGTCTCACAGTATCGTTCTGGACAAAATGTCTAGCTGTATACCATACAAGTACACAAGACAAGGAATGAATAACTGGCACAGGATGTGCTCAAAGTGTTTAGTAAATAAGGTACCATCAGGCTAGTTGCCAGTCCCTAGTGGGGTTCCTTGAGCTTAATTTTATGGCTTGTACTTCTTAATGGTTTGAGGTTTTTTGTCTACTTACTTTTTAAATCAGTAACCTGGACTACTCAATTTCTGGACACTGGAGTTGACTGCAGACAATACTAAAATAGGAGGAGCCACTCATTCCTTTCAGAGTAGGGAGACCTTAGAGCCACTTTAATTTAAGGGATATATGAAACTGAACAAGAGCAAATCCTGGATTCAGCACCTGGGACAGCACAATCCTGAATACATTCAGGGCCAAGTGACTGAAGTACAGACGTGCAGAAATTCTTTGGTGGGGGGAGGTTATTAGTAAACACAGTATGAGTCAACAGTATACCTTGACAGCCAAAAGGACCAACTGTATTCTGAGTGTTTGCACAGTACAAAAGTAGTGTGAGTATAAGTGAAACAGTCACTATTTCAAGTATGAGGTGCGGTTTCAGTGTCACAACCTAAAAAAGGTATTACGATGCATCTGAAGGAAACAAAGACAGTGAAGGGTCTAAAAGGGAGGATGAGAAGCAGCTAAAGTCCTGTTTCTTCAGCCTAGAGGAGATCAAGGGGTGGTCACACAGCAGCCTACAGTTCCTCACAAGGGAGCAGCAGGGCAGGAGCTGTGACAGCAACAGGACCCAAGAAACAGCATGGATCTGCATCAGGGGAGGGTCAAGTTGAGGATTAGTTCAGGACAGTGGTCATGGCTCCATAAACCTGTCAGTGGTCAAGAAGCACTTGGACAACACCCATTTCTGGTGCAACTCTTAGGTGTGTGAGGAGTCAGGAGCTGACTTGACCCTTATGGGTCATTTCCAACTCAGGGTAGTCTACAATAAGCTTCACAGTTGAGCCTTCTGGAGAGAACTGTTCTGGTTATTAAAAAAATAAAGATCAGGTAAGGAAACATGAAGGAGTTTTAATTCTAATTTCTTCTGAAAGAAAAATATATGGCAATTGGAACAAAGAGGGCACTCTTTATAAGAGACTAAACTCTTATAAAAAAAAGAGCGCTTCATTTACATTTGTAATTTGGTGCATATTTGGTTTCCTATACTGACTGTAGAACATCTTCCCAGAATGCATACACTGCATTCTCAGTTAGTACTGTCACTTTCCGAAGATCAGTGTCAGATAAATTTAGAGGGAATAAAACAGCATGAGTGAATTTAGTAGATAAGTATATTTATTCAGTATAGTTACAAAATACTTACCTTGCTAGCTGTGCCAACTCTTTTTGGGTCAGTGGACTTCCTTGTTTGCTTAGAAGATTCTTTAGCAAAATCAATCTCGTCTGAAAAGATGATACGTTTATCATATGTAAAACTGGTTTTCATGGTACACTAAAATTTTATTACAGTAATAGAACTGTGTGTTCATTGGGCTAGCTTTCGTGCTTCACTGACTTGAATTTGCCTGTAGTGCTTTTGTGATCAGAGTGTACAAAATAATCTCTTCATAGAGAGATTTGCTAATAATGAGAACAAGGACCTAAACAGGCACAGAATAACGTTAGAATCCTCATCAAAAGTCCTAATCTGCTGTACAACTGAAAAAAAACACATTAAGAAAGTTACCTTTACCTTCTGCAATAAATACTCTCTCCTGCCAACCAAACCTGCTCCTGTAAGTCCTAATGCAGGCTTGTCCATGCCTGCCAGTATGTAAGCAACATCTCATTAATACTGAGTAACTACTACTAAATTTGCTGGTAGCAAGCATAAAAAAAATGCAACAGCTTTAGATAGTTGCCAGAATTAAAACACAGTTCATCTGGCCAGGCCAGAAATTAAATCACCAAACTGCAATCATCCAGGGCTAGTTAGTTTTTTGAGGCTTCTGTTTTTGATTCAAAGAAAATGTATCTCAAATCAAAGAAAATCATGGAAACCAGTACTTACTTCCTCATTTGGTAAAGATACATATACCCGTTTGGTGAACCGTCTAGAAAAAACACACATGTATAAATACACATACACTTTTCTGGTTTTCTAGTGCATACAGATCTAGCACTTGCTTGATAAAGATTTCACTTCCATCATCTAATTCTAGGAAGCAGAACTCTAGGTTTAAAGAAAATCAACATGCATGAGCTGCTGGTGTCACCTTACTCTTGCTGAGGTCATGAAACTCCTCTCAAAGAGGAGACACTCAAGAAGTAAAAACATCACTGACTCTCACTAACAACAATGCATCTCTTCACTGTACACAAGAGGTCTTTGGAATTTTTAAAAATGCAATTCATTTGTTTAGACAGTGCTGACACCTTATTTTCCTCGTCAAGAATGAAGAAGCAAACATGAAAGCTTTTAACTAAAAAAGGCCTATGGCAAATCTACAGCAATATCTTCAACTGCAGGGAACATCAGAAGTCAAATATTCACAGAGAGTAAGAACTAGATTTCATTCAAACAACTTCAAGTTCCAAATTAAAAAAAAGCAGGATGAGAGATGCAAAAGAGTTATAAAATAGTGACCTGGTTTTAAAAGGCACTGCTGCTTTAGACAACTCTGTCATGCTTGTACACATGTATCCCAAAAGAGAAAAGGCACCTCTGAGAAGCTAAATTTATTCTTGCCAAACAGCTTTGCCTAATTAGTAAAAACTTACAATCAAGAAACTAAGCAGCAAAACCAGCCATTCATAACAAGCATCACATGATCACGCTCATAAAAGAGACATTCTGATACCTGAGAACAGCATCATCAAGCTCCTGTGGCCTGTTTGTTGCTCCCATCACAAGTATTCTGTCCTCTCCAGAAGACTGCACCTATATAACATAGACAAGCAAGACTGTTTTCAGTACACAGCATTTAAGTTATAAAAACTTGCCACTGATTCAGTGCACCAAAAGGATTCTGCTGTATGCCTTTTTTTTTTTTTAAAGCAGTTAGCTTCAGATTTATCTAAAGAATGCTTTAAATTCAAGGAAAAAAAAAGTTAGCACAAGACACAGTGCTCAAGTTCACTGCTGTCAAAGTAAGCCCAAAACAATCCACCAAAGTATTGTGTAATAAAGCTCCACCTTGATCTCAAGTCCCTAACTTGAAAATTCCATTTGATTTTCTTCGTCTTATTTTAAAAGAAAACCCTGTTTGAACACACGTGAGCAGTAATTTCTATATATTATTGCCACCTTGTACTATTTGTCCTGATTCACCACACTCTGGACAAGTTTCTCCTCATCTTATTATGTCTCTCTACACAATTATCTTCTCCTCCTGTACTTCATTATCACTGCTACACAGCTGCAACAGTATTCCACTATATTATGAAAAAATGGAGTAAGATTTTTCCATACAAATATCAGTGCTGTGTGACAGAAAAGCATTCTGATGTTCATTTGTGGGTTCCCCCCCACAGTAATGAAATATCCATTTTGTTTCCCTCTATTCTGCTCTTGTAAGGCCCCATCTGGAGTACTGTGTCCAGCTCTGGAGCTCCCTGTCTTTCTTGTATTGGGGGCTGTTGGAGAGGGTCCAGAGGAGAGCTACAAAGATGATCAGGGGACTGGAGCACCTCCCCTACAAAGACGGGCTGAGGGAGCTGGGCTTCAGCCTGGAGGAAAGAAGGCTATAGGGTGACCTCACTGCAGCCTTTCAATACCTAAAGGAAGCCTACAGAGGGGAGGGGAACCAACTCTTTGAAAGGGTTGATAACAGCAGGATGAGGGGAAATGGTTTTAAATTGAGGGAGGGGAGATTTAGGTTGGATGTCAGGGGGAAGTTCTTTACAGAGACAGTGGCGAGGTGCTGGAACAGGCTGCCCAGAGAGGCTGTGGAAGCCCCGTCCCTGGAGGTTTCAAGGCCAGATTGGATGGGGCCCTGGGCAATCTGGTCTAGCATTAAATGTGGAGGTTGGTAGCCCTGTCTGTGTCAGGAGGGTTGGAGATTCATGATCCTTGAGGTCCCTTCCAACCCTGGCCATTCTGTGATTCTGTGATATTACATGCAGGCTAAATATATTTAAATACATCTTGTCATCTCTAGGTTATGATACAAACAAAAACCAAACAATTTAATAAAAAGCACACTAACACAAAAATGAGTATTTCTGATTTGTCAGAGCTGTGTATACCAATGATCCAAAGTACTCTCTGAAATTATCATCTCTCAAATCTCACCTTACTTTTTGACAAAGTACACACTTTGGTGAGTTAGAATTCGTAAAGAAAAGCAAAAAAACCTCCAACAAAAAAACAACCAATGCAACAACTCTTCTTAAAACCCACTGAATCCTCTTACTTTGCCAGAAATGCATTACACCAAAACATGCAGTTGCAAACAAAGATTCAACACTACCTGATCCTGAAATATCACTCTTTCCTGGTAACAATTTTGTTCTCACAGCTTCTTTATTACTGCCAGACTCAATTTCCTAAAGTACTATAGTATGTAGGTAAAAAATAAAAGAGAATTAACAGCAAGAAAAAAAGAAACACCACACACAGTCTGTCAAGCTTAGTCCTAGCAGCCAAATCCTATTCATGTTTCATCTGCAGCTTCTACTGGCACCCATGACATTAGCCGACTCACCTAAAATCATGCAATACTTAGACTAGATACTTACACCATCAAATTCTATTAAAAATTCTGTTTTTAGACGCCTGCTAGCATCATGTTCACCTTCTCGTCTTTCACACAAAAGGCTATCAACTTCATCTAAAAAAAAGGGAAATATGCCTTAGTTAAACATACATTAAAGCCTTCATGTTTGCTTAAAGTCTTTTACTAATATAGGACTCCAGCAAGAAAGATCAAATCTTTTTTCTTCCTTAGGAGACAGACAGATCTTTTATCTTTAATGTATAAGCAGACATTAAAAGCATATTTATTTTTCTGACTAGGTTTACCATGCTATGCTATGTGTTGCTATTTAAACATGTAATACTACACACAAGTGAGAAAAAAATCCTGCTGGATAATGAACTGTACTGCAGGATAAGCAAAACCTGTTTTCATGCTTGAAGTTTAATACCAAAGAGGGCTTGCTCTGTAAACGTTGTACAGCCTGTTATGGTTTTGATGGCACTAATTCCTATTACTAGCACCACAGTAACAATAAATTTAATATGTTGTGTTTGGAACTACTGGTTAGTCAGCAGGTCATAATCAAGACATTTGCTCTACACTATAGAATTACCCAACATATTTTGACTGGTAATTCAAATTTTAAAAAGTCAGTATGTTTAAAAAGAGTAAAAAAGGTCAATAACATTTAAGGTCTTACCAATAAAAATTATAGAAGGCTGCAGTTCTCTGGCTACTGCAAATAGAGCACGCACCAATTTCTCACCTTCACCCACCTGAAACGACAATAAACTGTTTTTGGAAGGAATGTAGAAAGCATTTATTACAAGACCCCTAAGGTAAGGACTTACAGGAAAAAATGCTGATGAAGTCACACAATCCACTGGTATGTATTCTATTATTATTACTAGTTTAGTATTACATACAGTCATGTTCTTTCTGTTTTAAAAGAAAGGTTCAAACTTATGATCACAATTAAGACAGATTTTGGTGCTTAAGTTATAAAAGCTTCCTTCACTTCTTTTTAAAGGAGGAGAAAACAACTACCACTCATCTCTATCACAGTCAGTGACAGGAAAAAAAACAGGAAATATCCAGTGACACTGAGTTATCACAGGCAGAATTTTTTTTTTTCCTTAATGGGCAAATCATTTCTCTGAAGACTTATATTTTCTATAGGGAACCAGTTCACCTAAGAGTTATCAGAATCCTGGCCCAATCACAGCCCTTGCGTTCTCATTACAGCAGCTTACAGCTACTACTTACATATTTTGAAGTTAGGCTTGCTGCACTGATATTGAAGAAAGTAGCATTTGATTCTGCAGCAACTGCTTTGGCCTAGGACAGAAAAAAATACGCTTTTTATAACATCACACTGAAGATGCCTCTTTACTTCTGCAGCTATTACTGATGTTTTCCATAGTGATTTGAAAACCCTTATTCCTTCAGAGGGACTACCATGTAAATGCTAAAGACAACTAACACGCTTACAAATCAGAACAGGGAAGCAGCAAAATCACTACAGAAGTTTCCAGACTTCCTAATACTTCTCTAATCACAGTATCTCCACAGCCATCTACAGTTTGCTCACCAAAGAGCAGCAGTCTCCTGCTCCTTTTAGTGTATCATAAGCAAGCACTGACAACAACTTAAACTCATTTAGAGAAGCAATTTAGAGTAGCATGAGTCAAGTCTCATTAAAATTGCATTTTTACCATACTCAAAGTACCTTCTTTGTTAACAGTATAACCATACTCAAGAAGTTACTATTACTTGGTTATACAAGCTTTTTGTGTGTGAGTGGGGTGAGAGCGGTATTGCTTAATTCTGTTTTTTTCTTTTAAATTGATTAGCAATTATGTTCATATAGGTAAAACACAACAGAAGAGCCCAAGAAAAGTGCCCCGTATTTCCACTAAGGGCTTTAGAGCAGATCCAGCTTCATAATCAGCAAAGGCAGCATGCATCTGCAGCAAGCCATGTGATGAGGGAGGACGCGCCAAGCTCAGCTGCACTGTCACGATGTTCCCTGGCTGATGCACAGCCATCTCTCCAGTCCCCTGAACCTAGCACACCATAAAACAAGGTGCCAGGCAGTTCTCAAGCAATTGTTCTTTCTCACATGGTATGGAAGGCAAAAAACTTGTTACTATACTTCTTCTCCAGTTCAAACAAATGTTTACATTTCTTGTATATTTTGATAGAGAGCACACAGTGTTTTAATTGCTGCTACACGATTAACCACGTTATTTTTCCTCTCTCAGAAAACAAAACTTGGACTCATTAATTTAAGATATTACTTGTGATACTGAAGAGAATTCAGTTGAGAACAGTTTGGCCTTCCCCACAAAATGCATCATTTCGCATTTCCATATTTAGGCAATACTGCAAGCACACATCCAGGGACATTGTATTGTTCTGTAGTAACAAACTTGTGTTTATCGTCAAAACCCCTTTGCTACTACAAATCTGGAAGTACCCAGTTAAGGAATACTATTTTACTACCCACTGAACACAACCATTTCACCATTTCAATCTCACCAACACTCCTCTCCAGTCAGGAACACCCTGGTGTAAACCACAGTGATCTTAATCTGAGCCCCTCAACATCAACAAAACTTCCCAGTGTCGCAGTGAGTTTTAAAACTTTCGGAAAGTAAAATGTACCAAAAAAGTCCAAGAGACTTAGATGCATGTACACACATTGCATTTCTACTGCACATACAGTTGGAGAAGTTCTGGTTCAAGTTCCAACTGCACTGACAGCATAACATCCAGACATTACACCCATTAGCTTCCCAGTAAAGCAGAAATTAACTAACTTACACAAAAAATACTGCTTTAAGAATAGTACGAACTAATGCAATGTAAAAGGCCACATAGAAACAAGCAAGTTCAGAAAATCTGAACACCAGCCACCCCAGTGGTTATATTTGAAGCCCACCAACCCACATATGCAGAATTTTTCCTCACCAACATTGTCTTCCCATTTCCTGGTGGTCCAAAGAGCAACAATCCACGTGCAGGAGCTCTAAGTCCTGTAAATAACTTGAAAAATACATCATCATCATTTAACGTCAAAAAGAACTGAAGTGTTACAAACAGTAAATATACACTTGGTTAGATCATTACACGGACTCAAGAGAGTAATTTCTTTAAACTCTGAATGAGGATTGTTTGTGGTTTTTCCCCCCCCCATAATTTTATTAAACACCAAAAGATGTTCCATTGTCTTGCCAGCATTAACAGCCACCAATTAAGCTTAACTCCTAGAGTTACACACTGCTTTTAACTAACTGTGACGACAAAGGAAACATAAGCCATTCAATCTTGGGCAGGGTGAAGAGGAAATACAGGAAAAAAGATGTGATGATTTACCTCTATAAGAAAATGGTCAAAAATTCAGGAATGGCTCACTAGATAGGACTGGTAGCAATAGTAACAGTGCTACAACTGTACAGATTTTTAGAGAAGTTCCATTTCATTAATACCTTGCCCTAGTGCACCTCACTACTTGCTCACACAACAGTCAAACTACACCACAATCATTCCATGTATAGACATACCATGAAATTAATATAAAAGAAACATATTCTTTGAGACAGAGCAACTTATCAATCAATTTCCATTTAAAAACACGTGGATGTGTGCACAAGCATATGCACTGTAGGAGAGTTAAAGCAGTGTTCCTATTAACTACATATGGAAGAACAACTTTTTCCATGCACACACTTTTTCCAGGAAGACTGTCAAATAGCTATTGATAACTATCATAATCAACACAGACAAAATATCAGAATCCCTGCTCCACGTGTGAAGCACAATTCTTTTCTCTGACTCTGCCACAGTGATAACACCACCAAACTGCTTACCTCAGGTCTAAGAGAGGGAAGGATAACAATTTCTTGCAAAGCTTGTTTAGCCAGTTCCTGCCCTGCAATGTCATCAAATTTGACAGCTGGCCCACTAACAAAGAAATAGAATACTAATTAGTTTAACAATGAGAGATTCTTCTTCAACTGCAGCTGACTAATTAAATGTACTCGACCATAGAGAACTACTTTGAGGAAATCTACAACTTATACTGCTACACATTTCAAGAAATAGACATTTCTTAGTTGAGTATTCCTTGTTTTGCTAAGGTAACAAAAAACCAACAAACACGTATTACTAATTTTCATTCTGAGAGCATAAAGGTTTTTGAGTGAAAAATTGGCTTTTTGCAGCAAAAAGCCTACTTCTCTTCAAACTTACCTATCAACTATTTCATTCAGGATAAGATTAGCAAGATTACTGTCCACATTTCTAAATATTTTCATGTCTTTCTTCTTTCGAGCAGCAGGGGTAGGAGTAGAAGGCTTATTTGTTCTGCTATTTTTAGGAGCAACCTAGAGAGAAAGAAGAATATAAAACGCCTTGATACATTTTAAGCACACTGTTATAGGTACTAAATATCTACAAACAATAGTGCTGTCATACTTAAACATATATGTCATAATGTGTTCTACTCTTTTACTTGAGGGTTGCATGACGAATAAGGAGGGAAAGGAAAGAGATAGCACAAAAGAAACACAGCATTTTCCTGCCTTAATAGTACAGAACTTACTTTTGTATCCCAATCACAATTTAAAAATAATTTGCTTTTCAGTCTGGTTGCAATATGGAACTAGAATCTTTAAGGTTCCTTCCAATCCATTTTATGATTTAATGCAACCACATATGTATGTTTAAGAGAAGGAAAACGTAGGGATAAAATCTATAGTTCTGGAGTAGGCACTCCCCCCAGTCTTTTACATACTGTCAGTAAAGTTGGTTTTTATGCCAGTTCAGTTTTCCTCAGTGTCCCATGTGATTTCAAAACAAAGTATTATCATTTGTTACAACTAAAATCCCCTTGCTCTCCAAGACTCTGTAGACTCTCCAAGACTCCTGCTCTTAAAAATTCACTCTGAAGCCTAGCTTAAGAGGCTTAGCCAAAAATTCAATGTTTATGATTTAGTTTAGGTGTTGGGTTGTTGTTGTTGTTTTATTTTTTGCTCAGTTTTGTTTTTTTTTTTTTTCCTTGGTGTGTTTTTTTTTTCAATTTGTTTTCCTCAAAACCCTGTTGCAATCATACCACAATACTTCAATAAAAGTAGCAAATGAAGAGTTCATTCTGGATTTTACATTGATCTGCGTAGCAAACATCACTGTACCTGTTGTCACCATACCTTGTGAGTTGAACTTGCAGTGTTTGTTGCTGGTCTAGACACAGAAGCACTTGATATCCCACTGTAGCTAGGTGTTCTATGGTGGCCTGAAAGGCCTGTGGATCCAGTTTTTGCAACTGTTTTTGAACGTGGAAGGGAATTACTTGAGTGTGTTAAGGGATCCTTCTTTTTTGGAACTGCTCCACTTTCTATGAAGAAAACCAAATGTCATGGGAACATTTTTAGCAACTATAACTTCAGTAAGAACCCTAATTCAAAGATAGTATTGTTGATGCATAATACAGTATCGTATTATGTTAACAGGAGTTTTTAAAGAGGTTTAATACTTTTAAAGAGATATTAGCTGTAGCTTTCTTCTAAAGTTAAACTTCAAGTTTTCAGGAGCTCTCAGTATCAACACTACCTTGCCGTATTATAAAAGCTGAAGACACCTAGGTCCTATAGTAAGGGAAAAACACCATCAATTTCCTAAGACACAAGTCAACAGAATACCATTCAGAATACTTTTCTTCCTTGAAACTTCTACAGACAATCATTATAAGAAAACATTGAATTTCAAGCCATTAGATTCAGAGCATTCATTTTTAAGTGATGTTATCAGGCCTCGTCTAGCACTTCCCACACACCTTTACTGAAGCACTTTAAATTGGGAAAACTAAAATAGTTATACCTGAAATAAACTCTTAAAGCCTTCTGCTTACAACTTTGTTGCACTTCAGAAATCTCAAGGGGTAAATAAATTCTGAATGGACAGCACTGAAACAGCTTCCCATAGTCCAAATTAAATCTTAAAATATTACACCACTGAACTGAAATATCATTGCACGTTTCATCTACACGTGCTCCAATTCACCTCCATGATGGAGCAGAAAGGTCTTGCATCTGGTGACATATTTAACTTATCTTAACATCTTGGCCACAAGTGATTAAACTCTAAAAAGACGTTTCCTATCCAGAGTAAACAAACATCTCTTTATTTCTACACTCTCTCTGTGGGATATGGGATGAAAGAGGGTTCATTGGCTCAGAACTGACAGGTATAGAACATCAGACACAGACTAAGAGGTGAGAAGCAGGCACAAAGACTGATCAAGCTAACTGCTAAAAATCTGGGCACAGCATCTGTCTTCTTGTGTGGGGGTAATACAGTATTGAAAAATGCACATGCAGAATACAAGGGAACTTGAAGAATACAATTAACTGTATCTATAAGATGCTTCCTGACTAAATCACACAAAGATCCAGAGCTGATCGAAGTGAGTTTTCACTTAGTCATTCCTGCACGATAACTTCGAGTCAAAAGCTCTTCAAGTGAGGCATACTTCAAAGCTCAAGTTCAAAAAACAGCTCAACCTGTTAGAAATCCTACTCAACATTTTAACTTTTCCAATTTAATCAGAAGATTACACTCAAATCTTAATTTCTCAGCTTCATTTGCACAGCTGGTTTTGAAGTCAATATGGGACAGTTTCAAGAAGCTACAGTAATTTTTCTCCAGCTCCTTCACTCTAACATGCTGCTCAATCCTCACGCTTTTCCAAAACTTTCCCTATCTATAAAGAGCAATACATACACACTGCAATTTTTAGCACCATACAAATTGCACAGGTAAGGACTATTTCAGGAATCTGGAAGCACAGGGAGATCAAAACATGGAAAAGAGAAACATTTAAAACAAATCACAATTTGTTACTTCAAAAAAGAAAAGAAAGTTTAAGAACACATTATTATTTACACTACCTGTACCCCTTCAGAAATCAGAAGCACTAAACTTACAGACATTCTGTGGTCAGTCCTACTGGGTAATACAAAGTGCTGCAGAAACAGTTCTGAATATAGTTCTTCAGTTTCACCTTCACAAGGAGGCTTTCCTTATACACACTATCAAGAATTTCTTTATAAAGTAACTAAGAAAACGTACTTTGTGGTCTCTGGACCTCAAATTCAAAATAATAAATATTGTAAAAAATCCACTGGTCTAGAAATGTTACATAGTTTTACACAAATGAAAATCTTAAAGATGCATAGCTATAAATTTTCTGCAAATACTGCACAGCAAAATATACACAGCAATTGTAAGAAAAAAGTATTCAGATTTGACAACCACGGTAATCCCCCTACTAATAATTTCTTCAAAGATTATACTCAATTTTTTCAACTATGTACAATCAAGTAATAAAAGACACTGAACAGAAAACTTCAGTGGCTAACAAGAACCTCCATACCCATGCTCCATATCCTGGATGGCAGCACAACTATGCCAATGCAGGGATGCTTTCCAAGTAGGACCATGTTAGTCAAACAGCTGCTATGGCCACATTATGGTGTTAAAAACAATTTTCTTGCTATTTATTCTTCTATTTTGGGATCCTCCCTCATAATAAAGGTTTTTTAAGGAATGTAATTTTTGCAACTCAGAAAATGTTGCCAATCCATGCCTATGATTAAAGACATGTAAGCAAAACTCACCAAGTGAAAATAAATAAAATACAAGCTACTTATGCAGTACTAATATTATGGTAAGAACAAGAAATATAATGCCTTTGTGAAGGCATATCTCACTGACAATAACAGATCAAATGTAAAGATGGTAATCAGAGTTACTCTAATAACAATATTGTGCTGTCTTTTGTAAGATTAGTTATCTTCCCCATCTAGCTTGATGTCATGATTTTACAATTTCTGTTGTTATAACATCATGCAGTGCACAGGAATTGAAGAGTTAATGCTGCAGTTCCATGGATGGTTGACAGTTCTTCTGGGACAGGTAAACAGAAATATAGTATAGCTTCTAGAAGACATCACTGCTCCATTTCCATTTTCTGGTCAGTGGGAAAGATAAAACTGACTGCAAGTCACAAGACTCTTTCTTTCTGCTCCCTGGCAGATCAGAGAAAGAACTTCAGTTTTCAGAAAACTCTCTCATTTATTTGATTTATTAGTTTCAATCCCAATTAACTTGTATTTTTGCTATTATAATTACTAAACTAAGTTTGTTTTCCTCTTCAAATCATTGCTGCTGTTTTTTTTCCCCTTCCGTTCTGTTTCCTCCCTTTTTAGGCCAGTGGGCCTGCGGCCCCCCTGTCACAGACACAGATTTTGAAATAAGACCATGACAACTGAAATCAAAAAACAACCCAACTACTCATGGAAAATACATGCCTGGAAAAAAAAAAAAAAAGAGATCCAGCTAAATCCTCTTAAATCTAATTAAAGACCACTATGAAAACAAGAGAGATGGACAAAAAGGTTTGCATGAAGGCTGACACCCTTAAGACAGGCTACTGCACAGTCTCCTGCAAGTGAAGGGCTATATACTGCTACAATGAGGTTTTACAAAACTCTCACCACACGTTTTCAAGAAGAATCTCTAGCTGTTAGAGAAGTTGGAAAAGAAATGTAAAAGAGGGATTCACAGACACCTGTGGTAGAATCAAGTATGTCAATCTAGAATCTATACAAATAGCACTTAGAAAGAAGCAAGAATCTCAAATTACTACCAGTTTGGAAATGTAAGAATTGTGCACTACAAACATAAGATAATATCAAGCAGAATTAAGATACAAATGAAGTCTTTAAACAGCTTAGGAGTTAAAGGAAAATAGAAGAGAACATGACTTATATTCTCAACTCCTTTGCTAAACAGCCCTTTCTTGACATTAAATATGTGAGTGACTGTGCATCACACCTAATGAAATCTTACACTCAGAAGAAGCACAGGCTAATTAGGAAAGAGCACAGGTAATGCTTTAAGCAGGTACAAAAACAAAACATACATCCAAACCCTGTAGGCTCTGTACCTCTGCTTGTTCAATAATAGCAGCCCTCCTATCTCCAAGTAGCTGGCTGCTTTGCTTTATTCATGTAGTTTAATTCTTTCCAGTACTGTTGTCACTGAAAATACTAACTTCATTCTAATGTGCTAGGAAAGCACAGAGGCAAGATGATCAACAGACTGAAGCAGTATTGATAAGGTAGTTCAAGAATGAGTTGCAGTAGGGAATGGCTGCAACAGCTGCTAACAGGTTGACTTCTGGGGCACTTCCAGGGATCTCAGAGCTGCAGAAGAGGTTCACTACTTTGGGCAAATCCCTGATTTTACAAATTCTGAGTACAAAATGTATCTTTTACAAGGTAAATGGAGATAGAACAAGCCTTTAGAAGCTTTGCTCAACATAATCAGTCAGCAGATATTTAGTACTTAACTATTTCAATGGCCTGTTCTTTCCTCCTTCTGTCTCACCTCAGTTGTCACAGAGTTGAGTAAATGCAAGTTTCCCTGTCAGTGAAATTCTGTCAGGAGGGTTCCACTGCACACCCAATCTGACAGCCTGCAGCTTCTCCAACCCCAGCAGCAGCCTTGGAGGAATGGGAAGGAAATCTTTTCAAACAGTGGAAGAGAGACACTGAACAAAAACAACGGAAAATGCCCTTCACAGGGCCCTTCCTAGCTGTTTCTCTACTCCTTGCAGAGCAGTTTTGAACAAGTGTTTCACTCATCCAACTTACATAAATCACCCTAAGTATGACTCCAAATAGGTCAATTCACTAATACCATTTTCCATATATTTATTAACAATGACTGCTACAGAACAACATTCTGTTGAAGAAGTTTCTGTAAATGAAGACACCTGTCGCAAAACAGGCAAAATGCTTCTCTCCAGGAGGCACCAATGCTGTTGTACTAACACATTTAAGTAATAGAAGAAAGCTCAGGCTAACCTTCTTCTCCTGCACCATTCAATTCTGAGATGTTAACAAAAAGGTACAAAAAAATTAGAAGGAATGGGTTTTAAGAAAAAAAACTGTTCATACTGAATCAGATGGAACATGCTATTGTCTACTTTCATGTGGATATACACATGTATGCATTCATTCATTCAACCTTCTGCCAGTCAGCTAAAAATACAGGAGACGTACTGGATCATTTAAGATTGTGTTCTCAAATTCTATTTAAGTAAGAAATTATACCTGAGAGCCGTTTTTACTAAATCTTTTTTGACAAATGCCATTTAACAAAAACACCCCATACCATAGGCTAGAAGTGCTGAACAAAACAGTTCTACTAATTTAACTCCTCATACATCAGAAGGTACAAAAATAAGCTGGAAAAAGACTTCAGAACCAGAAATGGAATGAAAGAAAACAAAACTTACTGTAAACCACACGATTAAGCTTAATTAATTGCTCTTTACTCTAGTAGGCAAGCCTTGTGAATTATTTCGCTTCTTAGCTCACTATTTTACCCAACCTCATCATGGTCTACTGTATAAATTTTCATTTGAGATCATGATTATGACAATCATGATTATGACTGCTGGATTAAAACACTCCTCAGACAATTCACAAGCCTCACAGCAACTCTATTTCTACACAAACAGATGTTTGCTTCTGAGAGCTTAGTATTCCTAGTGCAGTCTTCTGGCAAAGGATAAAACCATCCTTCTACAACAGTTTTCCCTCATCTCTCCCCCTCCCCATCCTAACTGCATATTGCTTTTGCAGATTATAAATCCCTATATTTTAAAGGAACTTAATGCAAATGCACATGAATTTGTACTATATCCTAACCGAAGAGCTGCTTATGTAGGCACAATATATGAACTACATTTATTTTTTAACACTTTCAAAAACAGGTTTAATTCTATTAGGTTAATAACATCAAAATTATTTTCTGAAATGCAGTATTCATAAGTAGTTTCAGACTCTAATATTTGATTTAATGGAGAGGATGCAAGGACAGTCGTTTTAAAGACAGAACTGCATACTACAAAATAAAACAATTTTGTCACAGACACCAATAGAATGAAATGTATTTACATAGTCTTTAAAGACAGAAATACGGCACGGTTTTTTAAAAGGTTTGTGGGGCCAGAACATAGCATTGCATATTTTTTCCTCGTAACATACCAGAAACTGGAAAATATCCCCTGAATAGTTAGGTGTTGGTAAAGCCAAACCCACCTGACTGGAGATGTCCATTGCGGCATGCCAGGTTAGTACTGTCATTATAGACCTCCATTTGCGGCTTGGAAATTTGCAAATCTGCCTGCAGCTTCTCTACACAGTAGAAAGAGGGAGAGGGAGAAAAAAGGACAAAACAAACAAACAAAAAAACAACAAAAAAAAATGAACCAAGAAAACTCATGTATGTTGAACACACAAACGTCAACTTTGGCTTTGTTATATTCAATATCAGGTTAAAAATAAAAGGAGTATTTCTATCTATTCTACACAGTTAGCAAGCTAGTAAGAAAATGCTGTCAGTGCATACATGACTGAAAACTGCTTAAAAACTAGCCACTTCTGGCTGAGTTCATTAAAGCAATCTTTCCAGTTTAGTGATTGCAGTTACTTGCCAAAAGCGATGGTCAGGATTAATTTAATTTCATCTACTAAGATTTGTGCTGATAACCCATTTCTGCAAGTCCTCCCCAAGGCCTTACTTTTGACCAACTGCAAGGAGTCTTCAATTTTCTGCATATTAAATGTTTTGCTGAATCAGTAACATCCACCATTTTACAAAAGCTTCACTGATTCAAGGAAAACACCACACAGATATCATTAAGATGTCTTTCAAGATTTAGAATTATTGTTGTCCTGAAAGTCAACAAAATTATCATGCAAGCTGAGTTCTCTAAGAGTATAGCTTCAGAAATATCCAAATTCAAGATTTATAAGATTAAAGATTAAGGAGAAAGAAAAGAACTCCCAGTCACAATAAACTATCCAAAGCACAAAGCAAAGAGTTGCAAGGCTACAGCCTACACTAATCAAGAATTATGTCTCAGGATCATTAATTCAGTGCAGCTCACCAATACTGCTTTTACCACTGCTCTCACTTAGCAGCCCCTTTATAAGCTCTCCCACCTCTATCTTGCACCCAACTCTGCCCCTTTTTGTAAAAGCAAACAACCATCAGTGAGGCTGCAAGGCACACATCACAAAGAAGCTGTACGAAAACAGGCAGCTAAGCAGAGGATAGAGGTCTTCTGACAACATATAGGAACTTAACAAAAGAAGCTGAATTCTACTGAAAGCACTCATGCTGGATAGAGGGAGAATCACCTTTCAGAGCTTGCAGATCATATAATCAATAAGCAAAATCATTTCCAAAATTTCATCTATTACAGTTCTTTTTCCACTTCTTTTCTTCTTGTGCCTGCTCACAGCCACTTACACCTTAGCTTCCCCAAGAAGTATCTTTAAAACTATTAAGTGTAAAGATGTAAAGTGTTAACATCCATAGAATAACATCCAAACGGAATGAGAAGTAGTATAGAGTGAAGAGTCAGTAATCGTAGGGAAGTGTGAAAATACAAAGTTCAGACTAGTACATGCACCCAGAGTTTATTTTGTTGCAAGCTGAAAGCATTCAAGAGTTGGGTAGAGTAAAACCAAGAATGCCGGCTGCACAAGAACAGCTGCCAACCAGCACATGCTTTGAAACTTCATTTCTCAGTAAAGCTCCCTGAGTATGACTGACTGTAAACACAAAGGGCACAGCACAACTGAAGGAAAAGGCAGAATAGTCTACTCCTTTCCCAACGACGCAGTCTAAGTGGGAAGCACACACAAAACTTTGGGAAACAGAATTAGTACTCAAAGACACAGCGAGATACTAGATAACCAGTTAAGTTTTGGATAACATTTCTCAGCTTCACAAAACACACACACAAAAAAGCCTCTAGTGAGTAAATATAAAACCAACTGGCTTGGGCAGGAATTCAGTAAGCCCTATTTGCTTCAGTACTACAGTTTCAGATTGGGGTTTTACCATACTTATCAATTGCTACACTTCCAGAACAGTTCCATCTCTTCAAGAGCTCCAGAACTGCAACAACCACCAAGCAACCCAACTGCTGTCCACCTTCAATTCACACAATTCCTCCCAGCATGTTACATGTTAACACGCAATTTGAATACGGCACATGAAATTACATAATGCAAACAATCACTTTTCTTCAAAGGCAGAATAGCTGCAGAGACCTCCAGAATAAAGACAAAAATAAATCGAGCTATTAAACATTATCTCGGGAAATTCAGAGGACTCTATCACTGTTCATTTCAGTGTTTTCTTCCTAGAAATTGGGAAGGCTAACAACAGTTTATAGAATCTCATTATTTCTCCTTAATGATACAACACTGGCATAAACCTACCAAATAAACACTGCTGCAGCTGTCCTTTTATCTACGTAGCATTCCAAGTAATGTTTTCTTTTACTAGAAATCAGTTACCACATAACACAGCCCCAAAGCAAAAGCACCATCACCTCCAAGAAAGCGAGGTTGTCACAAAAGGTGTCTGTTAAAGTTCATGTCCATACCTGGCCAGAATTATTACCCGATAGGAGACTGATGAAAAGCATCTAAATTATGTTCTATATACACCTTTCAACCAAAATTACTTATTCCACACACAGAAATCTCTCCAAAATGGGAGAATATATATCCTTATAAATCACTTTCAGCATTAGAATTGACTTACATTACGCCAGACATTGCAGTTATCCATTTTTAACAACAGAAAAATGACAAGTTTCATGTATTGATTGTAGAAAACAAATAACCTCCTGTAACTCTTAAATGTATCAAATATAATGATCCTAACTTGAGTGATCAGCCATCCCGGAGAGATCAGGTCTGTGAAGGTTATCAGAGCAGGATTTATTCACTCACCTTAGCAGCTGCACAGCTAACATTCCCTAAACTACAGTGCACTAAATCCCTATCAAAAAAATGGGACATCCACCAACACCAAGTAGTCAAATTTGATAGCCCCCTGATGGGCAAACCAATTGCAATAGCGAGTTCTGCTGGCTAAGAAACTGAGTCACCTTGAGGTTCTCTAAAGCATACCTGGAGTAACTTCCAAACTGTGTCACAATAAAACTTTAAACAGAATTCAATACAGTAATTTACACTCCAGATGCAACAGGGATCAAAACAGGTAAGTAGCTACATCCTCTTGTTCAAATGTTAAAAGACCAATACCATCACCTTCACCTTTCACTGATGCCCCAACACTTTGAAAGACAAACACTGAGTACTTCTAAGTGACAATTAAAACCCAAATACAGAAAATTGAGTTATATTACTGGCATCACTTAGACTGACTAAATAAAATTTCAGTTTAGCAATCTGCATTTGCATCTTTGTCTGTCAAACAGAACAAATTATTTGACATTTGTCTACTTTAAGCCTGTTTTATCTTGCTAGCTAATGCAATAAAGTACCATTATGAAAGAGAAAACTCTCAAGAGCAAGAGAAAAAGTTTACTCCTTGATCTTCAGAGTTCAATTCATGGACAAATGACCTCACTGAATCCTAACAGCTCCAACAGCCTCAGGTTCAGTTCAGTTGCAAAAATATCCACAAGCTACCAGAAAACTTCCAGGTATCTGTTACTAAAAGTAACGAGCTACATTTAGAATAATACATACAATTCAACTCTACACTACCTTAAATTTCCAAGTCCATGTAAAATGATATTTACATGGACTTATTTACATTTAAATGTAATTTTAAAAAGCTTTAAAATATTTCAAAGTAGGTTACATGTTATAAATATTCCTTAAATAGATCTATAATGATGAAGCTTGTAGGATGTAACAGTTGGAAAATCTCTCAAAACATCTTTTCCTTCACAGAGGGCAAATGTCTTCACTTGCTCTTTCCTAAGCTCTCACATATACTGCTGGAAGCAGATAGTGCAAACTGAACAAGAGTCTCAAAGTTGAACTAAGTACTAAGCTTGGGATAATTCAAAAAAACATATATGACACCAACTTAAGCAGTAAACACTATTCTACGCATTTACTTTTCAACCTGCACTCTGAATGAAGAATCCAAACATCATGGGATCCCACATTATGGTAGAAAAGATGAAGATACCAGCTTGACCTCACCTGAGTACAAGAAAAACCCAACAAAATAACACAGCCACTTTCCTGGACATACAAAGGTTCTACAGATAAAAACCAACAGCAAAGCAAAGAAGCTGGAAACTTGACTACATGTTCCCTCCACATTTTGAGGAAAAGGGCTAGAAGACACCTGGAATACAAGGGAAACAAAAAGGATTCTCTTTCTTGTGGCTGTCATAACACCCCCAGCAGTCATCATTTACAACAACAGAATCAGAAAGCATAAGCAGAAGAAAGAACATTAGTTTTCCAGCTGCTCTACATGCTCCTAGGAGAGCGAGTTAATGGAACTGGAAACACCACAGTGCAAGACAAAAGCTACAGACATGCAAGTTAAGCTCAAGTACATTCATTTCTTAGTTCTCCCTAAAAAGAACACTAAATATCCTTATTTCCACTTCATTGACTGAACACATTTCCAAAATTCTCAGGTTAGAGGATACTCTACAAAAAGCTGTGGATTTGTAGGCTGAGGGAATTAATTTTGACTTTATATCATGCACAGTAAGATGCCATTTCCAACCCTCCCTGTTTACTCTGACCATTAACAGCTTATACAAACACTCAATTTTAATAAAGCCAAAATTATGCAATATTATCCTTCTAAAAAGAAGTGATCTTACCTACTAGACTTAAAATAGAACACTACTAGGTTACAAGAATTAGTATTTCACAAGCTTATGATCTTCATATTACTAAAGAATTATTACTATAGTACATACCAATAATCAGAATTATGTGACAGCAAAATTTCAGGAAAAAGTTGCACTTACAGAAGGTGCATTATTAGGGCTGATTGTGATCAGCAACACATCACGAGTTTACTACAGTTCTAATACAGAAAAGCTAAACCAACTCCAACATTGACATTTCCCCAGTTTACAAGTTCGGAATGCTAAGCTACAAAGACTTCTCAGTAGCTTTTACACCTAGTTTTAGGGCAGGAAATTTCAAAACTCAACAGCATTGAAAAATATTACTTATTTTGGAGATCCTACAGACAATGACTCCTTCACTATAAATATCACAAAGACATTTTAGAAAAATAGATTCCATCAAGTTGTGCAAATAATAAGAAACTTTCCAAAGTCATGAATTTTAACTGGTACCTAAAAGCTGCAAGCGATCCTTGGCCATTGCCAAATTTGTCATCATTTTAGACTGCAGACGTCGAGCCCGATCACACTGATCACCTTACAAAGAAAAATCAATGTTAAAACTTGGCAAATTAACTTTTTAAGCTGCAAAACACTGACATTCAGCCATCCACCTTCTTCCTCCCACTCCTTAGCTACCTGCTACCCCCTCCACTAAGAAATGTCATCACATAACTAACGAAGTTTCCTATTTAATCAAGATTTTCAAGTTTGTTGCTGCAATGTTTCACAATACTGCTCACAGAGAGGTGGATATCTATTCTCCTACGTCTCACACTGACCTAATATACGCTCCTTTCCACAACATTTTTCTAAAAAGCAGTCAAATAAAATAGGCTTTTAAGAAGCTTGAGAAGTGACTGAGAGGCAAATACAATCTAAAAATCATCACTATGATAATATGAAGAAATTTAAATTCAGTTGACTGTGTCCCTTTACATTTCAAAATACTCAGAGTTAGAGATATTCATATTACTACTACTTTAAAATAACATCTGTTCAAGCTGAACTTTTTAAGTACACAGTTTAGGCTGTATCAAATGCCAATGGTGATGTTGCACAGGTGAAACATCAGCATACAGTGTTCACAAACATTTCTGAACACATCTGAGGAACCAGCAGTCTGCTGAAGCAGCCCCAGAGGTTTTGTTTGTTTGTTTTTAAATTATTTTGAAGACAGAGATCCTTAGTTAACCCTTCACTGCAACTATTTCTGTGTTACATATAGGCTCCTATGCTACAGCTCAAAATGTTTCCATATACACAGATAGCTTACTTCCTCCTTAGTTGGAAGTGCTCAGATATTTTGGCATAAGCTATCCAGAAAGACAATTTTAGACTAATTCAAATCAGTGGGGCTTTTACTGTTTCTTCCTTGTTTATACTGCAGAGATTACAAAATTCTGAATAAGTGAGAACATGAACTAATGCATGATTGCCAGTTTTGGCAAACCAAATCAAAACACATAAAGGAAACACCAAAATATTAAGGAGCTGAGTATTTTACTCACAACTTTTTTTTTTTCTTTTTAAAGAACTGATTATTTTGTAATATCTGGAGCAAGAGTTCCATTACAGACCAGAACATTAAGGCAGAACAGAGAAATGGACCAGTGCTCACTCACAGCTTAAACAAGAATGAGAAACAGTAAACCATTCCTAGCACCTACCACATTTAGCAATTACATCTCATTTTGAGGAAGCCATAAAGCAGTACTGGTCAACAAAGCAAATCTTTTTCACAAGACTCAAAACTGGCTTACCTTGACCAACAACTAAGACAGCTATTCCTCTTTCCAGTTCTTCAATTCCTTTCTTATACCATTCAACAGCTTGTTCCTTTTGTCCTGCTTAAAAAGGAAGTGAACCCATTATTTTATGTAACGGATTAAAGTTCAGGAATGCTTCCATATAATGCCACAAAACAAGTAAAATGAGTGAAGATTTATTTGGACAAAATTCTAGGAAACGCTTAAAGGGACACTGTCAACTTCATATCTACTTCTAGTTCCAAATAAGCTTCTCTATTAACAACAGGTATTACACCAGCCTCAAATCACTTTCACCTGTTTTAGAAGATATGTCATCTAGCTCAATGAGATTGCTTTCCTTGTGGGGGGGGAAGAGAAAGAAAAAAACCTACACAGAAATAGAATCACAACAGAAATGGTGAAGTGTGGATTTTTCTCCCTTCTGAAACATCAAAACAAGACGTGCATGTTAATCTTCCAGGGATACCTAATATGAAAGTAACGCTAGAAGTATTGAAATTCAAGAAAAAAAGTGATGAGCCTGAGGTACCACCTACACGATATCAGATAATTCTGGTTCAGTTTTGTCCAGAGCAGTTCATTTGCCATGGGTATATTTGTTTTTTTTTGGTTTTTTTATTTTTCACTCTATCATTAAATTGCTGTACTGCAGGTGTATGTCAACTTGTACATGAAGTAAAATACACATAGTCTTGAAAAGAACAAGTCCATCAGCATGCCTACACCTTGCCTGTTTTATCCAGCATCATGAAAACAAATGATCTATTGAAAGAAACTCAGATCTGCATAATTCTTCCTTTCCTACAGATATCCTGTAGTCAAAAACTGTCTTGCTGCATACTGATAGGTGCTTTTTCAAGTTAGCAGTGTCATAACTAAGCATACCTTTCCAGCAAGGAATACAGACTTAAGTTATATTCTTATGTTCTTAGTGCTGACTAGAAGAACGACAAATACCTAGAACAAAGTCTTCAGATATTATTACCTTGGTTTCAGAAGAGATAACAAAAGTATTCATTGATGCCAGCTAGCAATGATTGTGTTGACTCTTTATTCAAACCTTTCTATAACTTCAGTCCCAGCTGTATTTTCTACAAATTTCAGTGCCAGGAAAATATTTCAATACATTTCTAGAGAAAAACCATAAGATGACTCCTTCTCCCTGTCCAGATAAAAGCTCTTTTATTAGCTTTTGGCAGGTTTTCTTGTGCAGCTAACCACATATTTCACCCTCCTTACCAGCACAGAATGCAGGAGCAGCACCTTTCTACAGCTGCATGCATCGCACACCTTGGGAATCATTTAATTTCTGCTCTTTTTCCACCAGCCTCACACACTCTGACTGTTAAGAAAAGTTATGAAAGTGAAACAACAAAAGCTGTGTGGCTACCATCTCTCCTGCAGCCTTTTTTCTTCCCATTTTTCCTTCTCACCTATAGAAATAGTGTCAACTGCAGTGCAAGTTTAAAGCTGCTTAAAGCCATTAGAAAAGAAATGTGATTCCAGCCACCCTTGCTATTGCTTGAGTCACTTTGCTCCTCTGAGGAGCAGTCCCAGGTGTGCCAAGCACATCATTAAATCTCACCTCCACTTTCTAACGGAAGGAAGTTCTGAAAGCAAAGCACCAACCCAGCTGCTTGCAAGGGCAGCACTGCACCCACACAGAACCACTTATGCATTCCCAGGGGCTAAGGCATGAAGAAAGCCACGCTCCTCAGAAGTCATTGATTCACTGTAACGAGATAGTGTTCTTCACAGTAGCCTGTGCTGCTGTGTTTTCATCTGAAGTCTTGATAAGACACCCATTCGTTTTGACTGTCACTGAGCAACACTTGCACAGCCTCAAAGATTTCTTCTGCTCACTCCTCTCCCCCAGTGAGAAGGCTGGAATGCACACAGAACAGGACAATTGACCCAAACTGGCCATACCACGTATCGTGTAACATCACACCCAGAAATAAAAACTTAGGTAGAGGAAGAAGAGGGCAGGTGTATGTGTGTGGGAGCTGGCTTTCATTGTTCAGAACCTGGCTGGGTACAGGTCTGCTTGTGGGGAGTTACTGAGGGAGTGCCTTTCTGCCATGTGCTCCCCTCCCCCTCAGTCCTTGTATTCTCTGCCCACAAGTTGTCACTCCTACCCCTCCTGCTCTCTACCCACCCCTCTCCTCTGGCTGGTAGCCACCACACCATTCTTTGTGGGAGGGATTGTCCAGAGAAATACACAGCACTGAGCTGGAGTTTGAAAATACCAAAACATTAGCACTAATTTCCCCAAAAATATACAAACATAGAAACTGTCAGAAGTGACACCATAATTACTGAGCTTCCAGAACAGCAAGAACTCCACATAACTGACACGACGTTAACTAATCCAGAAATTTCAACCATTTCATGTACTACACCTAACACAGTTTTTTAGTAAAAGTTACAAAAAGCTATTTAAACAACAAACAAGTTAGAAGGTACAACATACAACAGTGGTATGAGCAAAACAGGTGAGCAGATAGTTAATCTGTGTATTAAAGCAAACCGAGCTCCTTCTCAGTGACATAGTTAATACACTTGTGATTGCTGTATTAGCTGTAAAGACTGCTTTCCTACTAAGTATACATCTTGCACAGCTAATTCAAATATGACAACTCTAAGAATACCTATAAACAAGTCAGTGACAAATAAAGATCTGCAGGTTCCCCCTCCCAACCAGCAAGCCACCTGTTCTACAGCTACATCTTATATCAGCAATTCAGCCTTGGCCACTGCACAGAGCTGCCATCAGCACCACTGAGCTCCTTACATCTGTTCTGAGCTGACCTCAGTGCACACACAGTGCTTTCCTCTCCCCAGAGCTTAATGCTGCCACTCCCAAACCCTCAGTGCAGCGGTGCTCAGGCAGTTTGCTCAGCAGGCCACTTCCAGCAGAGGCCTAGTGCAAGGGTTTCAGTGTTACTGCTGCTTTAGGATGCTGCACTGACAGCCCAGCCAAAAGGGTAAAGTGAGGTCTGCTGACACTCCCTGAGGATTTTAGAACATGCACAACCAGCAGGGCTGCCTCTGGGTGCTGACAGTTGTGCTGCTGCATTTAAGCCAAACATTCAGTCTGGAGAAGTGAAGGCTCAGCGGAGACCTGATGGAAGGTGACCTTCTAAAAGGAGCTTATAAAGCAGAAGGGAAAATCAACCACTTACACGGATAGATAGGGGTAGCACAAGGGAGAATGGATTTAAATGAAAAGAGGGAAGATTTAGGTTAGATGTCAAAGGGAAAAATCTTTGCTCATAGGGTGGTGAGGCCCTGGCACAGCTACCCAGAGAAGCTGTGGATGCCCCATCCTTGGAGGGGCAAAGGGCAAGACTGGATGGACCCTGGGCAGCCTGAGCTGGTGGGGGGCAGCCCCGCCATGGCAGGGGGTTAGGACTAGTGGGCTTCAAGATCCCTCCCAACCCAAACTATTCTGTGATTCTGTTATTCATGTAGCTAAATCAAAAACACAAGCAGAATTGTGGTTTGGTTGGGTTGTTTTACCCTTCCAGACAAAAACAAGCACAAAAGACAGGTGCAGCACCCTCCCCCCCGCATTCAACTTCCTGAAGCCCAACTTATCAGTCACGCTGTGAGAAGTGTTTTTTACCAGAGAAAGCCCGTCAAACGTAGAAATAAAAGCCGACAAGCAGTCGCCCGACCATGAGCCTTTTCCCAGCGACTCCGAACAGGCCGCTTACGGCACCTGTTTATCGGAGCGAGTCTCCAACGCACCCACCGCTCCTCAGCCGTACTTCGAGGGCTGCCCCCACCTCGCCGGCCCAGGCGGTCGGGTTAAACCCGGAGCCAGCTCCACCCCGCACCCGCAGAGCTACGAACCGAAGGCCGTAATTAAAGTTACGGGGCCGCCCTTCCCCAGGGCCGCTCCCGACCCGCAGCCCCGCACCGGCCGGGACGCAGAGCGGCCGCGGGCGCTGCCGCCGCCCCTACCTCTCTCGTCCTCGTCGATGCGCAGCGCCATGGAGATGCACTCGAAGGCCCGTTTATGGCACGCCCGCACCCGCTCGGCCGCCCCGCCGGGCTCGGGCGCGTCGCCGGCCCTGCTGCTCTTGGCGGCCATGAGCGCGCCGCGGGAGAGGCGCTCGCAGAGCCAGGCGACCAGCAGCCCGAGCTGGAAGGCGACGAAGCGGAGCAGGGCGAAGGCGGCGAACAGCGGGTACGAGAAGTAGTACAGGTTCCGCTTGTGCGGGGACGCCGCTGCCGCCGCTGCCGCCCCCGCCGGCGGCGCGGGGGGAGCCGGCCCGGACGGCGCGGAGGGAGAGGCCCCGGCGGCGGGAGGCGCGGAGCTGGAGCCGGCTGAGCCCTTCTTCTTCCCTCTGCCTCCCGGAGAATTCATTCACCGCCGTCGCCATAACCCGCTGCCAGCGACTGACAACAACCGGCCATGGCGGCGGCGGCGACGCCCCTTTCGCTCGGCCCCGGGGGAGGAGCGCTGACAGCGGTCAGGCGTAGCGCTCCCAGCGCCGCTATTGTCGAGGCGCTGCAGCCGCAGCGACAATAGGAGGCGGGGTCGGCGCCGCGGGGCTCCTCCAGCTCGCGGAGAGCGGCGCGGGGCGGGGCGGGGCGGGCACAACGCGCTCGGCGCGGCGGTGCTGCGCGGACGTAGGCCGGCCGCGATGCACGCTGGGAAATGTAGTCCCGGGGAAGACGAATGGAGCTGGGCGCGGACGTCAAGTACAGATACGTCACGCTGGGAATAAACCTCAGCGCCTTCTACTCTCGTTGCGAGGATGAATGTCTCGCTGGCCCAGTCACCCTTATCAATTATTTAGCAGCAGCAATATTTATTGCCTGACAGGTCTTTCCCACTGAGACAGATCCCCCCAGCTGCTTAGTGCCTTCGTTACCTCAAGTCCTCCAAGTGCTTTGGCACATCGAGTCTGGCACCTATGGCAGACAGCCATACATCGCCACGTTCTGCTCGGGCATCTGCTCCTGCCACGTGCAATGCCATCACATATCCTTTCCTCTGTGCTCCGATCCCATCCCCAGCACACCTTACGCACATCCAGCACAGAGGCAGTGATTCTGCATCACGACTGACCATCTGTCTACTACACAACTGTATACAATAATCTACACTGTCCCCACAGTGTAGAAATACATGAAAAATGAATAAAGTCACTTATTCATTGCTTGTTTATGCCACATACAGGTATTTTTAGTAAAGAAATTTGCCCTTGGTAATGTATATTACTTCTTTTTTTTTTTTTTTTTTAATAAATGAGTGATTGTATTTTAATAAAGAGTATTCGTTTTTATTAATGTCTAAACTACAGAATGAATTACATAATAATTTATAACAAAATAGATATTTGTGAACTAGAATGATTATTAGATGGAGCTAGTATACCTATCAGTGCCCCAAAAATGCAGTAATGTTCATTAACTATTTTTTCTTTGTTTGTTAAGAAAGATGATGTGCTTAACAACCTAAAAAAAAACCCTCTTATTTTGTGAAATTATTAGTTGAACTATACATTAACAAGCTGAATTACCTAAAAATTTGACAGATTTTGGAATACCAACAAGTTTCCAGAAACTTCAAGCAGCGTTGATATTACGTAGTACACAAAGAAGTCAAGTATAAGCCATGTGACAGACCACCCATGGACCATCTCTACTGTCCATCTGTTATGTACAGCATCATCCCATTCCTATGCAAAACAATAGGAGAGCCAGTAGCTGAATAAATTATTAACAAACTGAAGGACAGCTTGAATGGCAAGAGGAAGAGTGTGTGGACAGAGAGTCTCCAACAAACCCGATGACTCAGACTCTTCAGCTACTGTTATTAAAAACATTGAGAATGTAAATTCTGTAAGGCATCTGACTGTCGTGGTTTATAGCACTACACACCACTAAACAGTGCACCTGTTAAGGGAATCATTTTTTAAGCCAAAGCAGAGTTCAAGAAGTAGACGTGTCAGAAATTGTGATAATGCTTCTAGTGAGAACCTAGAAAACTCAGTTCAGTATTATAACTATTAAATATTTCAGTCACCTGTGAGTCAGTTTAATTGCCTTCCTGCTTAAAGCTGGCTGTGATATTCACTGGACCTATCCATGAACTACTTAAATTGATAATCTGCCATAAAAGTAATAGTTTTGGTGCGTATTTTTTGTAAATAAAAGCCGTAGACAAACAAATGAAGCCAACCCAAGTGAGAGCAACAGATGGCTTTCTGCTGCTGGCTGAGATGGGCAAAAAAGCCCTGAGGAGCACCAGTGAAGACGTGAGACATGCATTGAGGAGTGGGCAGTGGCTACATCAGCCGTCTGCCTGACGGGACTTTACTGTGAAAAAGCAGAGCTCAGCCTGCAGATCGGGGACTCAAAATACCCGAGTTAGAACATGGCACTTCAGCAGAAGGTCCAAGAACTGGGGCAGGCAAGTCACTGCAGTCATAGGAATCAGAATGGTGCAGCTACCTCAACACCAAACGCCACTGCATAGAAGGTACCGTTAGGAAACTTTTTCTCTCTGATATAACATAATAGCAAAACATAATGCTACCCTGAGAGCTGCTCGCCTTAAGGCCGAGCACCTCCCAGCATCCAGGCCGCCCGACCCACCTCCCCTCGCGGCGCGCGGTCAAAGCGGCCCGCCGCCCAACCAACCACCAACAGCAGGGCTGTGGCGGGATAAGCCCCGCCCAAGTGACGTCACTGCTGTGGGCGCGGGGACTGCCGCCGTTCTCCCGCTTCCCCTCGCCCGGACGGCCGAGGTGGGCGGGGCTTCACTCTGCGCAGGCGCAGATTGCCGGAGCACGACGGCTACAGCGCGACAGTTTCGCTTACGTCCAAACAATTTACGACACCTGCGCCGGCGGCTGTGGTTGCTACGGGCGGGCTCTGCCGTCCCGTGGCGAAGCAGCGTGCAGCGGAACCCAGGCGGGTGAGAGCGGTGCGGTGCAGCAGCACGGGGCGGGGGGTCACTGCGTACTGGCACAGTAAAGCGGACACGCGAGCGGAAGAGGGAAGGGAAAGGAAACGCTTGTCTCGTCTCGATCTCAGCCTACTGACTGGTTTGTGTTGTTGCTTTCCAGGATTCCCGTAAATCCAGCAAATCCCACGTTGGAAACCATGGAGGCAGAACAGATCATGGAGGGGCAGCCGCAGGTACGGCAAGGAACGTTTGGTGTGCGTTGTCGGTACGTGTGTAAAATACGCGTTTGTGCGTTGCTGACCATGCGTTCGTTTTACAGGTTCCAGAAAACCCCCATTCTGAATATGGGCTCACTGAAAACGTAGAGGTAAGGCAGACTTTATTGCTTTCAAGTGTGGCAGGGGTCACAGTCCTGAGGTTAAATGTTGGGTCTGAACTTAATAGCCAGTGTTCCCAAGAAAGTGAGTTGGGATCTGCACCAGCAGATTGCCTTGCACTGTCAGCTGTTAGTGCGTTGTCTTGTGTTGCTTCTGTGGGACAGAATGCTGCTGAAGTAAGTAATGAACGTTTTGATGAGATTCCTTTGAGAAGTGTCCTGTGATGGCTGTCTGTGCCAGTAACAGACCATGCTGCTAAAAGGCAGACAGGCTTTCATTAGAGAGAAGAGAATAGGAGTCAATGGCATTTCTGTAAATGTATCAAAGGGAGGGATTTTTTAATATCCTTGTAAATGGGAACATGGGATCACAGTAGTCTAAGCTAGCTGTAATTACTTATGCTGATAGAACAGACAGAGTCCAGTCTGCCTCTGCCGCAGGTAACAGCGTGGGTTAGAATAACAACTCTGAGATGTTTGTTTTCTGCTCTTTGTGAGCTTTCATCTCTGTGTAAGCTGAAGCTGTATGTGAAGACTTTGCAGAAACTTCTCAAACATCCTGAGTGGCCAAGTTTCCTGAAAACTGCCTGCACACCTCCATTTCCACTGCAGTCATAGCACATAGGTTGTATAGCTATAAATCTCTGTAGATGGTTTTGAATGTGTTTTGTATGCTGGCAGCAGTAGTGTGTCCTTTCTTTAACTGGAGTTAATAGTTTCAAGATGTTTCAGGCACCTGGAACCATTCTGTGTATCTTTTCTTAAAGTATCCTACACTTTACTATGGTCTCTAAGTGCTTGGCATTAACAGAGTCCCTTTTGTGTTGGAAGTGCAGGCATGCGGGAACCATTCAGTTGGAACTGCTCATGTTAAAGTTATGCCTTCCTAGACTGTTTTCTCTGAACAGACACTCCTCTGGTTTAAGCTTGTCCAAGGAAAAATGCACGCTTAAATTTTCTTAAAAGATGTAAAGAAGTTATTTTCAGTGAGCTTGCAGAGAAACGGGTACTTTATTTGCCCACATACTTCAAAGTAGATCTGACTGCTATTACCTCAAAGTAGATCTGACTGCTATTACCAATACTCATTCACTTTTCCTTCAGAGGATAGTGGAAAATGAGAAGTTAAACGCAGAGAAAACTTCGAAGCAGAAGGTGGATCTTCAATCATTACCCACACGTGCCTACTTGGATCAGACTGTTGTACCTATCTTGCTACAGGGACTTGCTGTTCTTGCAAAAGAGAGGTAAGATACTGAAATGTTCCTTCTGTCCTTAGGAAAAAAGTAGGTCTCAAACTTCAGTAGTTTGTCACCTTTTTTGATGTCACACAGCAGATATGGTGTTGTTAGCTTGATAGATGTAAGTAAGTCATTACAAGTTCATAAAATGCTGTAATTGTAGCAAGATGTGATCCTCACTTAGCTGCATATGGCATGGTTAAAGTTATTTAACTAATTTCTTGGTTCACAATGTGGCTTACTACTGCAAAGTTTTTGTAGGGAGAAGACTATTTTTCATTAATTTTATCACATAATTTACTTGATAAAAACAAGGGAAAAAGCTGTTCTAATTTTGAACAAAATTTCTATAGTGTGGGATTATAAAGAGTTCTGCTTGCCATTCAAAAGAAAGAAACAAATGCAGATCAGGCCTGACATAGCTCTTCCTAAGAAATCTGAAACACTTTCTAATGGATGAGGTTGACCCTGCAGTGTTAACACAGTAATACAAATGATAGTTCATCCTTTGAGTAAAGACTGTTCTGTCAAGGTGCGTCAAATCTCTTATCAGGCAACACAGAAGCATATTCTTTAACAATAATAAAGTAGTTCACCTTGTCCAAATGAATTTCTATCTCAACTACTGGTGAGTCACACTGCATATAAACCATTTCTCAGTTTTGCTGAAATAACATTTCAGAAGCTGGTATGGATGAGTGACCTCACTGTACCTATAGCCAGAACAACCATCAGCAGTGCCTTAATCTCAGAAGGAACTGTGAATTTGAACTGATTGTACAGGCTGCTAGCAAAACAAAAGAGCATGTAGGAAGGTACACCCTGCTCCCAAGGCAGCACACTGATCTTCAGTTCCCATCAGTGGGATTTCTGCTGCAGACTGAATGTCATCTGGGGAGGAATCAGCACAACTTTTTTAAGTCTCTTGGTGTTAATTGAAGGAATCAACAAACACATGGAAACAGAAATCCAGATGACAGAGTCAGTTTAAATCTCCAAAAAGCTTCTGGCAGTCTGTCACTAAGGGCTGTTAATTAGAGTTAAGT